TTATGTTGAATACTTTTCCTTTAAATAATATTGTATTTCATTTTTTTAAACTAACCGAAGTTCCCTGTTCCTTATATTTAGAAAACTTCAATTTTTTAACTTTTTTGGGCAGCCTTTAAGTCTGTAAAGTTCTGGCGCTTATGTTTTGTAAAACTATAAAATAAAATCTTATTTACTATGTTTGTAAAGATTACGTTTAAGGTATCTTAACTATTTTTCAAACTAAAGAAATAAATTAAACTGAAGATCTTAAAAAAAAAATTTTGACGACATTTTTTTTGTTATTGTTCCTGTTGCCAATTAGGAAATATACATCAACCTCTGTCAGGCTTTACTCAAGGTTTAAGTCTTCAATTTATTTCTAAATGTTTAAATGTTTAAAGTTAGTAAGCAGGAAAGATGGGAGTAGTGTTAGTAAATCCCCCCGGGCCACCTCCCCCTATCAGAGCTAGAACACTTTAGAATCGGATACTTTAATACCGATTCCTTTATCTAAATATCCACTGTGAACACTTCTTCTGCTTAATCTGCTCTTTTCTCCTCTTTTTGGATATCCCTAATGGATTCCGACCAATGAGAGTTCGCTCACTAAATTGCGCGCAAAACTTGAAATTGGCCGGCTTCTTGTTGGCCGTTTGGGATTTTACATATACCCCTCTTGACTGGTTGAATTTTATAAAATTTCCTGGATGCAAACTTATGATCAATATAAAGAGGAGATCAAGTATGAATCTCGATATCCACGTTTCTAATGTTTTTAGCTCTGAATACTGTTGAATGATTATTTTATCCTGATAAAAGCACATCTTTGCAATCAGATGAATAATATTTCTTTCACACATTTCATTTGCTTTCAGGTCTGAATCAATGAATCAAAAGAAAAGTCCATAAATCAAAGTTCTCTCCAAACCTTCGGTTTATTATGAGTAGCTGAGGGATTGTTAGAGTTGGTTGGGTCAAGTTTATTTCTGGGGATTTATAAGGAAACTAATACTAAAATAGCAAATGTGGTAATCTAAGGAAAAATTGTTTTGTTTGAGGGCAGCTTACTGCACAACAAGTTCAAAAGGAATATAATGGAATTTTTAATTTCTCGTGATTCTTAACATTTCCCTGCATTATTTTTTTACTAGGATACAAAGGTTTTTTCTTTTCATTCCTAATTATACAAACAGCTCTAAATTAACCCTCTAATTTGATGAAGCAGTCTTGCTTTAAAGGTTTAACCTTTTTGTTATTTTATTAACACACATTTAACTGCTTTAACTAAAAGGACTGTCAAAATATCAAGTGACCCCATTAAAAAGTTGCATGTCTGATTCACAATTCAACTTGATTATTAATGAAATTGTATGAACGTTTTGTTTTGTGGTATGAGTCGTTTTAACAATTTTCTCCTTATAGACCCAACAGATAGAAGTACAATTTGTAGCAATCACCATCGAATATTTTTTCGACATAAGCCTATACATCCTTTCATTTTTTTTTTACAAACAAGCACAATAAGCCACTAATCTAAATTTCTAGTTCAACGTATTTTTTTTTTAATTGATTGGATATCTGAAAGAGACCAAAAGCTATAATCTGCTCTATGCCAATAATCATAAAAATAAAAGTCTGCTCTTGAGCAGATCAAGCAGTTTAAATTAAACGTTCCCTATATGATTGAGTTCAGTACTTCCTCTTCTTTATAAAGTTCTGACCTCTAGCTTAAATTTATCTTGCTAATGAACATTTTTTTTGCAACTTAAATAAAATTACATTTTCTTAAAGCTCTGAGCTTGGAACGTTTAATTTGGGTTGGATACTCATCTTTATCGTTTGATCTTGATATCCACTGTGGTCACTTGTAATTTTAGTATCGATGCTTTACTCTCAAGGGTACGATTACCAATTATCATGCGGTATAGCGAATAAAGATTAAATTAATCTGCAGATTAACGCAAAATATCAAGATCAAGCATTGATCTCGATATCCACTATATGTACAAGAGTTCCCAGCTCAGTTAAAAAAATATGTTTCTTGGTTCTTCTGAAATGTCACTTCTCTCCTTTATTCCTTTTAGATGACTCAAGGAAGATAATATCCTGCCAGGCAAGCCTCTGGTTCTCAACTTTGATTCGGAATCTAGTTTTCACATTTTTACGATAAATGAAAATTCAAAAGTTTTAACATAAATCTTAAATTCAAACTTTGCTTTTCCATTCTTCTTGGCTCAATTAACTTTTTAGAAAGTCAATTAGCTTGAAGCTTTATATCAAAGGGGTAGAATTGATTATTTTCCAACAGCCGAGTGATTTGAGTACTTCCAATATGAACACTAATTTAACTTATTGGTTTGTTATTTTGAAAATAAACTTTTTGGGACTGAATTGTTGTAAAATCTTTTTTATGCATTGCATTTGTGAATTATTTATTGTGATATTTATAATATGATTACTGATACTGAAATCCTCACCCAAATTGAATCATAACAGAATAGAGGGACTAGAGATTGATCAGTACACTCCAGGATCTTATACAGGATAGGCATAAGAGAGCTTAGCTCCGTTCATCTAACTAAGGCCTGGGGACTTGTACTTCATAAGCCCTAAACCATGTGTGAAATTGATTGATCTCGAAAATCCCTAGGATTTACATCTGGCTTGTATTTGATGGAAGACATAAATCATTACATAAGCTTAATCATAAACATGCCCTTAACATTTTAATATTATAAATTTCAAAGTCTTAATCAAAACTTTACAATTAGATGAATGAATTTGACTAAAATCTGTTTATAATAGTACTAGGGGTTTCCAGGTGCTTGGCGCCCATCTTCTTATTCAATTGTGAAAATTTTCTCTTTGTATACATTGTAAAAAAAAAGTTGGCAGATTTTCTAAAAATTTTCATGGATTTTCAGAATTGATTGAAAATTGGAAATTCATTGGAGGCAAATTTTGAAAATTTGATCATCCGTAAACCTGCCCTGGGGTCGCGATTTTGACCCGATTGGTTCAGGTGTTTTGAAGATTATTGGATACAAGTACATATGTAGAAGGAAAGAAAAACATTTTTTATTTTCTTGATCCCTGGTGTTGAGGTTGAGAGTGGTAGTAAACCCAATTTAGGTTTAATGAAACCTGTCTCAGGAAATAATAAGTTTATCTTCATCCTTGAAGCAGCTCAGATTTTATCCAGGGAGGAAGGGGTCCAGAGCCACCATGAGCCCTGCAAAATGACCACTTGAGCCTCCCGATGAGCAGAATCACCTCTAATCCCAGCAAAATGGTCTCCCTGTCTCTCGCTACAAATCCAATTGTAAGAAATGTAGAATTAATTCCAAGTTCAGTCTCCATTTATAGAATGACGTATTTGATTCACATCGGTACCCTTAAAAGTGTTGTCTGAAAAAGGACGCACAAGATCCATCTTTTCATTTTTGTGAGTTTTCTTCTTTTCTGCTTCAGAAGCACTTTTCAAGCTATAGATCAGATTGAGGTTCAAATGCTTCTCTTGAGATGAAATTATTGCAGAGTTGAAGATTATCTTGTCAAAAGTATGTGGGTCTTGTAATTTTTGTATCATTAAGAATCAGGTGTAACCAATTATAAGCTAAATTTGTGTGGGACTTGACATGGTCAGAGGGATCATATCATATTTGTGCCCTCTGGATTAAAATAATACCCCCCCTCTCCCAGGAAGAGTGTAAATGAATCAGTGTACAGAACAAAGTTGAAGGAAACTAGGTTTAAAAACGTCAATTGTCTCTATATATGTGGAGGAAATTGGCGTACATTCCCTTATCCTTGTATTATTCATGGAGTATGAAATATAAGGGAAATATTACTTTGCAAAAGAAATATTCAGAATAGGTAATTGTACATCAGACAAATATTTCTTATACAAATGAAGTACCGTCTGCAAAGCATGTATAATCATATGGTAGGGCGGGCCGCGTTAGTTGTATCTCCCTTCTTTTTAGACTCCTTGATATTATTCCAACCTAGAAGAAAAGTTAAATCAAGAAAGATCTTAAGTAATTTTCCTTATTAAAGTTGAGGCTTGATGGTCGAATGTAAGATGAATTCAGGTCTCATCCACTCTCTTCAAATACCGCTAATTCAATCCTTCTATACTCTCCTTCAACCTACTCAATTCTTTCCTTACACTGGGAATAGAGCTCTCAAATAATTTCCAAACCCTTGAACTCTAATATTGTGTGGACTGGAAATGTAGTTTTTCTATGTGCACTGAATTTTACTCCGTTTGATTTTAGAACATAAGCATTTTGTATTATTCCCCAAGTAAATTATACCTTGCTGTTTGGAGCGCTATAATTTGCACACTATTCCCATGGCAAATGATCACTTGATAATTAGCTCTAATTGCCACCTTTAGTTATTACCATATAGCAAATGTTCAATTGTTTTAAATCTCCTTGTAAATGGTCAAAGTATTATCCCTTTTTGGAGGAGATCATTAACTTTTATATTTTCGTCTAACTGTAGCATTCCATCGATCCTATCTCAGGTTCCTAATTCTGTTGATGTAGGAAAACTAACCCTATTTTTAAACGATTTTTTGCAGGTTTAAAAGGACTAAGCGAAATTTGATTGACCCACTTCTATGCAAAGACGACAATGCTCGATTAACAGGGATTCCCTGAATACCTTTATTTGATCAAAAATGTAAAAGATGCCTTCTTTTTATAACTCTATTTCTTCTTAAGGGCAAAAAATGCTCGAGTCACTTTCGCAAATGAAAATAAACAGTTTGAAAAAAAACATTTAATTTTTAATTCAAACCTAATCGGGCATTGCAATCTTTGCGTGAAAATGTCACTCGAAATTACGCTTACAGTCCCTTTAAGAAGAATTATTCATGGGAACTTTTTAACATTTACAAAAATGATTACGGACTAGAACAAACTTGTAACAAATGAGAAAACACGGACAGTCAATTCCTAAGATCTGACAAGAAAAATTTTAATTATTTTTAACAGAATAATATTTAGTCTACAGGGAGTATAGAAGCCTCTCCTTCTCCCTCTCCAGGCTCCTACAATACATCCTACACAGTTCCAGGGGGTGGAGTTCCTAAACTTGGAACACTAGTTCCTAATAGGTAAATATAGAACCCTAGTTCCTAAACACTAGTTCCTATTAGGTAAATATAGAACCCTAGTTCCTAAACTTGTAATACTAGTTCTTATTAGGTAAATATAGAACCCTAATTCCTTAACTTGAAACAATAATCCCTAATAGCTATGTAATATTCAATTCCAAATGATACAACCGTAGTTTTAGTTGGAACCATGTTGGACTTCTGTTGAAACTGATAAAATTAATGTCCTGAAAACAGTACATTGTTGCTGAAAAGAAATAGTGAAAGTCGTTAAAAAGATAATTTCCCCGTATTTCAAACTAAATTCGACCATTAACCCTCTAGGAATAGCAATGAATGGGGAATATATTTTAACATTGTACCAGATCTTTTGATGAAGATGGGGGGGGGGGTCAAAGGATATATCTAAATAAAGGGGTGGAGGAGGGGGGGGGATACATTAAACTGGTAAATACAGCTTTGATGAGAAATTAGATTACGATGATGGCTTTTGAGAGTTAAAAGTAATAAGAGGGGGTTGGGGGTTGGATTTATTAGTGACGGTAGGGGTAAAAGTTCAATGGAATGGGGTTGGGGGTTGGGGGGGGTTGGCTTTGGCAATATTCAGTCGGAATTTTTCATAATTTTTGCTAGTTATGAATCCAAAACAGATGGATTTGTCTGATTCTCTTGAAAGAATAATCTAATGGAATGAGAGAGAATTAGTGGGGTTGGATTAATAACTATAATTAAAGAATAAAGAATCAGAAACGTTGCTTTGAAAATTTCGTCTGTTAAAACAAAACATTTTTGAAAATAAATAATTCACTTGTTACAAATTACAAAATCTGAATATTGCTGTCTATTCAAACGAGTAAAGAAGACTTTCATTTTGGTTTAAACTGGTCAATGTTATGACAGAACAATTTGTATTTCCTTATGAACTATATTTTAGTTTGTGAAAGAAAGAGGAAAATATAGATTATATAATTTAACATGGCTCTGCGAGCTAGCTCTCACTCCAACAAAAGTTAAAGTAACTTCATTCCAAACTTTTTAATTGCTCCTAACTTCTGCACTTGTTCCACCATTTCTAGGATTGTCTCCCTTTGCAATTTTTAAACTCAGGGGGGATACAATGTCGAGTATAGATAGGGAGGGGGTTGTTGTTGGAACTATAAGTACATNGGAGAAAGGTTTCTTTGTGTAACTTTTCTGCTGATACATCTTTACCACAATTTCTTCTCATTCTCATCTTATAAACAATCAAAGGACCTCTCCAATTTTCTTCTTTTCTTCATTTTCTTTGCTTTCCTTCTTTTCTTTCTAGTCTTTCTCTTTATTCTAGTTCTCATCTTATAAATAATTAACAGACCTCTATATGTTCTTCCTTTCTTCCTTCAGTTTCTTTGTTCTTCTTTTCCTTCTTATATTTCTTTTCTTTCTTTCCTTTTGTCCCTCGATTCTTTCTTTTCTTCTACTCTTGCTTTCCTTCTTTTATTTTCTTTCTTTTCCTTCTGATCTTACTTTTTTCTTTGCTATTTCTTTTTTCTCCTTTTCCGTCTTTTTTCTTTTCTTTCTTGTCTTTCTATTCATTCTCATCTTTCTTTTCCTTCTCTTACTTCTTCCTTTTTCATTCTTTTCCTTCTTCTTTTATTCCTTAAATCCTTTCTTGCTTTTCCTTCTTTTCTGTCTTTCTTTCTTTTCTTTTCCTTTTTTCTTATTCCTTTTCTTTCTTTTTTTCTTTTCTTTCTCTTCTTTCTATTCATTCTAGTTCTCATTATATAAACAATCAACAGATCAGCAATACGTCTCCTATATTTCTTTTTCTTTTTCCCATCTACTATCCTGATTCATCTACCGAATATTTTCATGATTTTGACAGTTTCTGTATTTGTTAAGAATGCGTTTATATATATTCCGTTGAATGAATATAGATTTCTAATCCTGATCCCTTTGTTTCTGTTAATCCTTTTACATATTCCTCTTCTAGTCTACACCTTCCTCATTTGCAGGCCTCCCCATCAAATCAAGACTAAGTGAAACAGGGGTATATATATGTGTGTAGCTTTTTGAAAAAATATGCGTTTTCTAAACTTGGTTTTTGTGATATAACCATGTCCGTTGGATCTACAACAGTTTGGCTCCAGGAGCCAGATTCGCAAAAATATGCTAATCCATGGATTCGGGTTCAATGGGCAAAATATCATCCGAGCCTGCAAAAAATATCTTAATTTTCAGCAAAAAATAAGAAATGTTAAAGATCTATGGATCCGGTGTTTGAATCCGGATCCATTTTTTTTGATCCGGATCCATTTTTTTTCATAATAAAATGAATCCTTAACATTGCAAGAAGGGAAGATACATTTGTGAAATTTGTGTTCCCATTAAAGTTAAAATTATCTAATGTTTATTATGAAAAATGAAGAATATCTCCCCCTACAAGTATAATCTGGTTGTAGTCGGTATAGTTCCACTGCACTGGTGCTGATTTATCCAATCAGAAAAACTAGGATGTAATCAGTGTGGGCCGGAGGAAAAGATTTCACATCGTTAAAAAGATCAAAGTTGGTAATTTTTTAACCGACGGAGTTAGATAAACTCCCCCTGGGTCAAATCTTCAAAAGTTATCAACTCCGAATAATTACAATTTTACATTTTATTCATCTTGATGTTTTCTTGTTTTAAAATTTCTAAATAAAATGGAAATATTCACTTTCGGGTCGTCTTCTCTCATTCTTTGTGGGTAACCTTGTAACTGACTCGAAAATAATCTAAGATATGAAAAGGGGGGAAAAGGTAAGCTTCGTAAAAGTACTTTGAGAGAAAAACTTAAGTAATAGCTATTCGGCTTAGCCTCATTCGGCTCAGCCTAAGGTATAGCCTGTACATCGGTTTTTGATCAGCGAACTTTAAGATCCACAGATCCAGGGAACTATGAAATTACGTATCCGGAACCTTGGCCGGTTTTTTTCAATTTGTCATCCCATTCCGTAATTTCCTATTCAATTGTCTCATCGTGTCCTCTGAAATGGTTAGAGGATGCATATTTTTGTTTTGTTTTAATTGAATAGAGACCGGAAACATTCAAACCTCCACCTGCAATTCCAGCATCCTAGCAAGTGGTGTCTTCTCAACTGATCTATAGAGGAAACCGACCTAAGCAGTGTTTTCCAATCATTAAGTGTTTTTGTGGGATTATTTGGAAGAAATAACATTAAAAAGGTGACGGTTCGACAATGATAAAAAAGGATCAAGAATTAGATCAGTTAACGGTTCTTTTTCTCCTGATTTGTTTCTTGTCCATCGTTGATTTAGTGACAAACTTTATTTTAGAGTTTTTGTTGGAGGAATATCTTCAAGTACTACAGAATCAGAACTTCATCAACTGTTCTCAGGAATTTAAACATTTTTTTTAACAAAATGCGAATTTTTTTTCTCAATATTTTTTATTAGTTTTAATAATAAGATATTAGTAAGCTATACAGTATACATGTTTTAAACGCAGATAATTTTATTTCAATATTTTTCTTTTCTGCAGGATTTTTTTGCTTTTTGCATTCTGGACTGCTGTAAATCAAAATTGGATAGTTAGAATAATATTTTAAACCAAATCAAATAATTATTCTCTTCTATCATTTAACTTTCATGTTAAATACAAGTTTTGTTTCTAAGATATTTTTTTCATGCACTAGGCTTTAATGGACTCACGGTGTGAAAGGGAGGGCTCGCTAATATTTTCATTTACACTCTGCTGGGCGTGTCTGGAGAAAAGTATACTTAACAATAGAACGTCTCTGTAGATTATTTATCTTTAAAAAGTTTAAATAGTGTTTAAATCATACGTTGTAAAAGTTATTATTTCGGTGGCCGAATTTAAAGAATTTGAGCGGCGGTTTAAATTTAAGCCGCGGCTTAAATATGGTTGGTTCCACTTAAAATTGTATCATTAATGTTTCAAGATTTAATCCGGCGCTTAATTTAAACCGGGTTTTGGCGGATTTAAACTGCGGCTCAAATTCTTTAAATTCCATCTCGGGTTTCTTCAAAATCAACTTGAGAAGAAGAGACAAGGCTATTTGTAAATATGAATCCATTTTTTACAATGTGTATTATATATATTGAAAAATCCTTTTTTAGCCCCCCTCCCCCGGTTCTATGCAGCCAACACATGTTTATGCGAAAAAGTTTTGCGCAAATATTTAAAGGATAAATAAAGAATATTTTTTTATTAATGTTTATTTCTGGACAGAGTTCGGGAACGTGAAACAAACCAAGATAATCGCGGACAGAGCAGGCGTATCTAAAGGTAAATAACTGAACACCCCTGTAATAGGAAGACGACATTCTTATCCGTATTTATGTTGTTAAAACAAGAAGCAGAATTACAAATTTAACACCCTATTTTAGTCCTGAATAAGTAAACTCATTTTATGATTGTAGTGTGGGTCGCTCTTAAAAGTCAGATTCGATGTCCATGTTTATTGCTTTTGAAAATAATAACCTAAGTTATTCCACAGTTTTTCGGGTCCTGGTGTACCACTAGATTTGCTGTACTTTCCTTCAAAGACAGAGGGGTATTAATTTTGTTAAAAAAAGTTTAATTTATTTGTCCACTCTATTAGGACTGGCAAGCAGGATTTTTATCTCCGAATCTGAGGAAGTATGATGTTAAATTAGTGTTCTGGATTTAAGAATCTAAAAAAAGAAAAATTGGAAAAATTCTAAAAATACGAAAAATTAAACATTTTAGATGAGTTCAATTTTATTATTCTAAAATATCTTGTTTTTTTTTCTTTCCTTTTTTCTTTTTATATTAAACTATAATGTTTTATTTGAATCAGAATTAAATTTACTGGAATGTTTTTTAAAGTATCAAAACATTTTGGTTATAAAAACATTTCAAGAGTAATACGTTTTTTATATGATTGATTTTAACTAAAGGGGAGAGGGGGGTTTATTGTTTGCATTTCTCATACAATCCTGAAAAGCTCAAACCCGATGAGTAAAAAAATTCTTTTTGAGGACGGAGGTGGTGGGGGGGGGGCACAGTTTAGTTTATACACTTGAGGTCCTGGTTAAAATCCTGAACTTTCGAACTCTTTTTAACCCATTAAATATAGATTTTTTGTATTTGCTATTTTGTACTTTTTTATAGGGCTATTTATTTTAAATATTGAAGTTTTATAAGGCTTTCTCTCGCGCTATTATTGACTAATTTTGAATGAGAGAATAAAATATTCCGATGGAGACAGGATGTACTTCGTTAAATTAGTGTTACGTAAAAGATAATACGTAAAACCTGGATTGGTATTTTTCATCCACGTCAAACTGAAGTATATTGCACGTCAAATTAAAGAACATTGCACGTAAGATTGAAACTTTAAATCTTTTAAATTATAATTCCACTTTTTTAAGACCTATTGAGAAAAACAAAAATGTTTTTGATTCAAAATATGTAACTAAATAAATTTGATTTTTCTCATACTTGTGCATAAAATCAGAAATATGGGAGCAACAAGATCACAAAGTCGTACAATTAGTGTCAAATGAATTTGACCTTCTCCTCTTGGCTAGTTTAAAGTGCTTGAAGTCATGACTTATTACGTAACTAGTACATGTTCCCAGAAAGCATTGTTTTGTTGTAGATGCATCACTAGTCCTTAAATTGTCGGATGTGTCCATCTTTAAATCCCCCCCCTCCCATATCCTTTGCTCAGTAAGGGGGGGAAAACGTAAACCCCTTCAATACTTCAAGGTCTCCTAGACTGCAATCCAATGTTCTTCACATTCAAGTTAACCAAGCTTAAACTTTAACCTGAACAACTGTTTTAAGGGAATTTTGGGGGAGATACTAGATAGTGACGATGTTAGAAGGAGTACAGATAATAATTGTAATATTGTAATATTGTATTCAGGATACGGGTTTGTTACATTTGGCGTAGATACTAGACAGTGACGATGTTACAAGGAGTACAGATAATAATTGTAATATTGTAATATTGTATTCAGGATACGGGTTTGTTACATTTGAAACGGAAGAGGAGGCGAGGAGACTTCAGGTACAATATTTTATAGTTTTCCATGGAAATTTGAAAACTACTCTATTTAGTTCATTTTAAAATATATCTTATAAAAATTAAGTTTTAAAGCTTTATTATTCTTTACTCTCTGGAAGAATTTTTTCAACGTCTTTTTTAAAACTTTCTTGAGGTTGGATTTTTATGTTGAATATCGTTAACCTTAATGGCTTAAAGCCTTGATCTCGATTTCAAATGTGAGCACTCTTGAATTTATAGATTAATTCTTGATCCCTGATCCTTGTCTGGTATGGCAATCTTGGGATATCAATTAAAATAATTAAATTGTTCCGTACGTCTGCATAAGATGCAGATCAAGGCTTGATCCCGAGATGACCAACACAAGTTTTTTTAAAATGTATTCTAATTTAAGATTTTAAAAAGTTTAATATTTAAGTAGCTATTCATTATTTTACAGATCTTTTAACCTCGAACTTAAACTTCGCTCATTCTTTAGTTTTAGACTTCTGATGTTGATTTCATAAATCCCGGGTTAATTTTTACCAAATGTTTATCCGGTGAAATTTAAGATTTTAACATTTTAGATCTTTTTTCTTCATGAAGTCATATTTACGACTAATCACTAATCCGTATCCCTGAGATTTGAACTAACAAATATATTTACGACTGTTACTATGCATTAAAGGGATCGAAGACGTATTTTCTTGTAAACCTCCATTTATTTGTAGGGCAGAATTAAATTCAAAATTTTTAGAAAATTGGTTCATTCCTTGCCTCCTCTCCAAGGCTAATGGTCTATTTTTTCCCCAAATTTTTACTTAAATGTCCGAATCCTGACGCGACCCCTTTTTCGATTTTTTAAAGGGGTGGGGGGGGGGCTTTCTTCTTGATTTTCAAATAACCCTGACATTTAAATGTACAGGAGAATGAAATATTAAAAAATAAGGTACGCCTCTATACACCCTTCAGTCTACAGTCGTATGTTTTAGCATTATTCAAAAATGTTGCTCTTTTTCCAAATTGTTAATTCATTGATATTAATATTAAACAGATTAAATGAAATACTATCACAACATAATTGAAAGCAGCCCCCCCCCCCGTCCCGAGTAAGAAATTTGTTCCTGCTTAATATTTGATGCCAGGGATTTTGCACAGCTTGTTTTATTTCGTACTCTTTTTCTCTGCAAATATGTCAAACCTGTCATTATTGTGAAAATTGACTATTGAAAATACACCGTTCTTCATACAGTGAGGGAGCCAATGTGTGTAGAACTAAGGTTGGGGTCGGAGGAGGGGTTTTATTTTTTTTTTTACAAATTTTTGATAATTTTTATGAAATAAAATTGTACGCAGCATAGTTATTAGATTTAAATGCTAACATGTTTGTCTCATTGTCCATCTGCGCGTCTGCATTTTCTCTTTTTCTTGCTTCTTTTTGCCCGTCCATTTTGCGAGACTTCGCGCCATTTCTAAGACAGTTTTATCGCCTTTTCATTGATACATCTCTCCTTCAGGTTCGAAAAAGCATTTAACTATTTAAAAAAATTAGTTAAGATTTACTAAATACAAGATTTTCTATCAACAATTTATTTCTTTGCATGTTAGAAGTAAGGGGGTGGGGGGGGGGATTCTGAAAAGATGGAAGAGAGAAATTGGAAAAAATTCGTTCAGAATTAATTTTTCTTCAAAAATTCTCAATTAAATTTGCGCACTCAGGCGGAACTTCCCCTAATTTTCTTTTCTTTTCACCAATTAGCTTTAACTGTGAAAAAACTTTGCAATTATTTGAGATGTGTTGCAAATATGACAACAGGAGTGCCGAGTGCACTGCATATTTTTGCAAGATTTCCCGTCATTTTCTCGTCTGTCTGCGGTCTTTGTGACGTCGGTTATGGATTTCTTTCCATCGCTTTGGATTACATTATTTCTCTGAAAATGTATTTTTTTTAACTTTTTTATTTAAGTCCTTTTCTCCTTCTCCTTTGCTTGTTTGTCTACTCTTATAAATCCTTAGTCTGCTTTAAATTAGGATCAGACTTGTGAGAAAACTCATTAACTAGGATTAGAACTGGACCAACCTAACAAATATGGTAGCTTGTTAAAACTTCAAACAAACTCTACTAGATGACTAGTACTAGGGACACCACATTGTCAAAAAGTTTAACAGGGTATAAATTTCTTTAAAAATCAATTTCGCCCCTGTCTATTTTAGTCATTTCCCCACGACTTGAGTATATTTGTTTTCACTGAGGGAAAATAAATCATTTTGTAGAGGAAAACGAACTAGGTGGTGACCGATTTGTCCCACCCTTATTTAATGTAATTTCCTGTTAGCCTTGAAGAAAAGAAATGAAACGATGGCAATACCGGATTTTCAACGATACTCTTAATGTTTTGTCTGATCAAGTATGAATTTGATATCAATGTTTATAATTTAGAAAAATTATTGATTGCAATTGTGATTTCTCTATAAAAGTGACTTACGCATTTCTACTACAGGAAAATATATAGAAATTGTTGAATTTTGAACCTGTCAATATCTTCCACATTATTGATCAGATCAAGGATTTAAGGGTAAAGTTGTGAATCAGGCGCAGCCATCTTGGCATGAATTGTCACATTAGGCTTAAAGTCACTTTAAGAATTATTATTGATTTTTTGTGAAACGTTCAGATCAAATTCCCTGTTCATTAATTGTTACCTTCCAAATATCAAAATATTCTCTTTGGTTTTAACAGTAGTTATTATAAAGCCACGAGATATTTTACCTGACCAAACATTGAATAATAATGAAGATATTATATAGATCCAACCTGTCTAAAATAAATGGCAGCCCAAGGAAATGATTTAAGAGAAAGAGTTTTAGTTTCTCTATCCAATTTTTCCCTTGGCTTAGCAATGCTATAAAATTCTACTAAATCTCGATACAGCATCCATTCATATACTACAGACTTTTGTCTGTACAACACCGCTTCCAGGGGCAGCTTACCATATTTTCCAAGGGGGTAAATTGAAAATTAATATATGCAAAGCGTACCAAAATCTGTATCCCCCCCCCCTTTTCCTCATGGCAATGGTCCCCCTCTATATTTTTATTTGTATGCCAAACCTTTTTTAGTTTAATAAGCTTGCGCATTTCTGCTGCAGGAAAACGTAAGAAAAAGCAGAATTAAACTTTTTTTCGGATAAAATATTAAATCTTCCACACCTGCACTGATCAGATAAAGGTTTCAAGGCCAAGGGTACTGTTGTGAATCGGGAATCTTCATCCTTGTTAGTAGGTTCATTTGAAACTGAAATATAAGTAGAAAAAACTTGAAAATATATATCAGAGATTCTTTCTTTTCTTCTGTCTTGAATATTGTTAAGGAAGGAAGAGGGAGATTCCTTGATCTCTTCAAAACATTTATTTCTTGTAATCAATGGAAATCCTATTTCTCAGTTTCATTCTTGTTTCTGACAAGATCAAACCCCACAAATTCCAAGAATATAAATTAATCCATTCAAAAAGTTTTCTCTTTTTTGCTTTAAAGTTTACAAACTTAAGATTTTCCTGTTATTAATAAAAAAGATGGCAAAAAATGGAAAAAGTGACATTTTATGAATTAAAGATTATAGAATTTATAGGTTCTCTAGACGAATTATTTAAAGTTGAAATAGGTGTATGTACGGTACAACGGTACAATGCAGTAGAAATCGGATTAAAGTTTAAAGGTTGCCATTGTGAATCCTTTATGCCACTTAAGGAACGAAGGATCATTTAAAATAACTTAAAAAATAAAGCGTAAAAACAATATTTTTAAAATTAACTGTATTCCAGGCAGCATCAGAGGACATAGTTTTGAAAGAGAGAAAACTCAATATAGCGCCAGCAATTAAAAAGCAGGTAATAAATCCAGCAAAACTAGCTGAAAAAACCCGGATTTAATTGACTATTAATCAGAATTTGAGTCGCGGCATAAATTTAAGACGCGGCTCAAATATGGTGTGTTTTATTTAAAATTGTATTTAATGTTTCAAGATCTATGCCGGCGCTCAATTAAAACCGTTTTTTGCGGATTTGAGACGCGGCTCAAATTCATTAAATTCGGACTCAGGCGACTTTATATCTCTATATATTATGTCTGCTAAAAAAAAAGTCACAACATTTTGGAACTGGCGGGACTAGTGTTATTATGTGATTATTGTAAATTAATTTCGGATCTTACTGATTAGAAATGAAGTTCATGATGAACAAATATATGGGAAATTAAATGATATAAGATATTCGACAGAAAATTAAGTATAAAATTACGTTGGAGGCTTACTGGTAATAGGTAAAGTTGTGTTATGGTTGAAATAAATATTGGATGTTTTTGTAGAAAATCTGCCAAATTGGAGAACTTGTGATTCTTAAAGCAATTCTAGATTCAAGAACTGATTGAACATTCATAAAAGTTCTCCCTACCTTCCAACTATAGTTGAATTTAAAGTTATAAAGTTTCCCCCAACTGTAATGGGGGGATTGGGAAAGCACTAAGATAGTCTAGGGGTATAAAAGTGGTCTCCAGAGACCTCTCAAATAATGAATTGCTTGAAAGAAATTAGCCAATTCAAATGCGCGCCGCCCCTGTTCAATTCTTAACCCAGCAAGACAACTGACATTAAATTAACATCAATCTGACATCTTTTTAGGAGGTTTTATGCCATTAATGTCCAATTAACGTAAAAACGAACCCCCTTTAATGTCAATAGGACTTCAATTTATGACGTTAGAGTGATGGCAAATATCCTTAAATTATGTCAATTTTATGTTTGTTTCATGTCATTTTCAATGTTTTAGTCATCATAATGACATTATTTAACGTTACTATATTCCTAAATGAGATCCTATTTAAGATACCTAACATCTCAATGACGTTCAAATAATGTCACATAACATTTCAATGACGTCATAATAATGTCATTTGAACATTTTAATGTTGTCCTAGAACCCAATTTTTATGGATCTACTCTTAATTGGGTATTTACTTCAGAAGAAAAAAAATTAAAAAGGTTTGGTTATAATTTTGCTTTTTTTCTGTTTCAAATGGTTCAGTCGAAGTATAATATGAAGGCAATACAACCAAGAAAAAAATAACGAAATTTAATCTTGAACACAAAAAAATAAAGCACAGAAAGGCATTTTAGAAATGACAGTTTACCTCTCTTCATGCAACCCTGGAAATACTAAAGTTTCCGGATTTTAGATTTAAATTTAAAGTTTGATATTAATCAAATTTAATGTTAAAGCTGAAAGTTTCTACTTTAAGCACTGAAGAAAAGTTCATAGAGAATTTTAATTGGTTAAATTCTATGGGTTAGCTTTAATCCTGTAGATTGTGAGGGCTTTTATATTATAAATAAGTTTTAAGGTAATGATTAAGAAAAATAGAGCTGAAAAGTTAGATTTTTTTCGTAGATTATTAGTAATCCAAGTAATAATGTTGAAGTAATTTTTTTTTGGTCTGAGTTAGAATCCTGGAAACGAAAATTTAAATGTGACTTGCTGAAGTTTTGTCACTGACTCTAAATGTGCATATCTGCTTAACGATCATAGAGATAATGTCTTAGATGCACGAGAGGTTAAAGTCGTTGATACGTCGCAGAAGAAATTCTGCGGCCGTACATTTTTGTAATGTATAAACAAAAGAAATAGTCATTTCAGCCAAAGAGGTTTCATCCTTAAGGAGGGGGGGGGGGTGTTGAAACCCTCCCATATTTTTTATGTAAGAGGGTTAGGGAGCCAACCCTTCTTTCATTGAACTTGTGTCTTCCATAAATTTTATAATTTGAAAGTTAAATAGAAACGCATTTGTGTTGTAGGAACTATATAGTTTGTGAATACAGAATCAGATTAGGAGTTAAAGCTGTAAACACTATACAATTCCATTCTAGCAAATTCAATCAACTTCTAAGGGGGGGTTCAATATAACTTAGATACGTTCTTATTGTTTGTTCAAAATGCCGTGCTGACGATCCTGATATAAAAAAAAAACATTATTATTTGTCTGGCCTGCCTCTATTCTCAATAAAAAATATAGGGAGATTTTCAGCTGCAGAAATTATTTGCATAGGTTGTTAAAGTAGATTTTCCTCATTTAGCATAATTTTATTTTCATTCATTGGGATGGATAGTACATCGCTAAACTACCAACTACCGATTCAAATTTGAACCACTGATTCAAAGTTACGAATTCAAAGTTAAAGATTAATCAGTGATTCAGATTTAAACTGGCGTTAGACAGTTCAAATTCATTAATTTGGTCTCAGATCCGGATTTTGCTGATTTATATTTCTTTTAAGTTTTACTATTTTCTTTTACTACAAAAAATTTTCTAACTAGTGTTCTTCCTTTACTGCTTCAGTTTTTTTGCTCAAATTTGCTTATCCAAGGAGAAATCTGAGGCCCAATTTAAAGAATTTAAACCACATCAATGAGCCGCCATAAACTGGTTCCAATTGAGCACCGGATTAAATCTCAAAAAACTGAATAAAATTTCAAGTGGAACCAACCATGTTTGAGCCGCCTTTCAAATTTGATAAGCAGTTCAGTTAAGTTAGCCCTGTTAAATTTTCAAATTAATAATTCATTTTATACCACTCGAAAATGGGATTATTACTTAAAAATTGACAAAAAGCTTTTTTTCCTAAGCTAACTTCTTGATAGACAATGTAATTAAAAATAGTAAATAGGATTTTTCCTAATAAAAGTTTTAGCAATTTGTTTTTACAGGGAGGCATTTTTGCAAAAGTTTTTGGTATTGAAATGAGTGCTTGGTAACAGACAGATTAAAAACAAAGAGAATAGATATGTGAAGAGTGGAATTAAGTCGTAAAAAGTGTAAATCCGCCATTTTGTTGTACTGTTTCCATAAAGCAGGTGTACTTCACACATTTTTTCCATAGAACCTTTTGAGTCCTGAAGCATCTTTTAAAAAAAAAGAATTCTTGAAAATTATTAAATTTTCTCGAAATCAATTCTCTGACAACCTGTCAAACATTCCGAGTTCATTTCAGCATAAACTTTATAAAACGTAGAAATTGTAACTGATATCCATTGTCCAGGGATCATACTGTATTATTGTGATGTACTTCATACTGCATATAATTTGTGAACATTTACATGAACTGTACACTTTGCAAACTCCTTTTTCAGGCTCAAAAGGGATTGAACAAATTCATACCTAGGGATATTTTATTTCCCCTCTATTCTAATCTCTGTTCTGTGATTAAGAACAAAGGTCTACTCCTGAAGATTTCAAGATACAATTTTACTAAATATTTGATGCAGGAGTAAGAATTTGGCTGAAAATAGAAACTAAGAGCTTCAACATTTAAAGATATTTTATCAGATTTATATAAAATTTTATCTTAAAATTTCTTCTTCTTAGAAATGAGAATATTGAGAACAACCCATTGTAAACTTGCCAATATTTTTGTCTGAAAAAACTTTGATTATTCTTTTTTTAGAGCTTTTTTTAAAATGGTATTCTAAATTGTATTCATCAACCATGTCCCCTTGAAACGTAAAGTTAAACCTTATTTGTTTAGCAAACCTATGGTCGAAGCTATGAGATGGGTCAACCTGTTATTAATGGAGCCATCTACTATCATAATGGGATTCCGTACACATATCAGGTATTCAGTACTATTTTTAAACATGAAACATAAAACTTACTAACCATCCTTGATAAATGATAAAATAACCGAAAGGGTTGCCAAAGCTATTAGGGAAATGGTAACCCTGGAGCTAGTGGAGAAATGGTTTCCCGAAAGCTAGTGGTGAAATGGTTATCAAAACAATTGGGGAGAACTTTTAGATATCAAAGCTAATTTGAGAATTTGAGAATTAGTAAAGTCATTTCAAAAGTTGATTTGATTTGATTTTTGGTTACTAAATCAAACTGTTACCAAAACTTTAAGAGAGGTGGTTACCAACGTTAGCGGTGAGATGGTTACCAAAGCAATTGGGGAGATGGGTTACCAAAGCAATTGGGGAGATGGTTACCAAAGCAATTGGAGAGATGGTTACTAAAGAAATTGGGGAGATGGTTATGAAAGCATTGGGGAGATGGTCACCAAAGCAATTGGGGAGTGGTTACCAAAGCAATTGGGGAGATGGTTACCAAAGCAATTGGGGAGATTTTAACTAAAGCAACTGGGGAGATGTTAACTAAAGAAATTGGGGAGATGATTACCAAAGCAATTGGGGAGATGGTTACCAAAGCAATTGGGGAGATGGTTACCAAAGCAATTGGGGAGATGGTTACCAAAGCAATTGGGGAGATGGTTACCAAAGCTATTGGGGAGACAACCTATACTAAAGCTATTATTAGGGAGATAGTTACAAAAGCTGATAAGAAGATGATGAATACTGAATAGCAATGATGTAAAGGGTGATGGATAGTATTTTTATAAAAAATAAATGTTAGTATTGTTTTGTTTCTAAAAGATAAAATTGTGAAAATAATTAAATGAAACATTGAGGCAATCAAGGTTTCTCTTTATCTATAATGGAAAACTGATAGAATTTATTATTATCTGAATTCAATTTTTTCATAGCAGAAGATAAATACCATAAGGGTTTAATTTATAAAATTATGAAGTTCAATAAATAACTGAGAAAATATAATGAATTTGAACATGCAAAGAAACATTCAGTGCTAGGTAAGGTTTAAGGATGGGCATAATTGTTTATTCAAAAACAAAACAAAATTACAGTTTTTGATAAATTAAAACAAAAGTAAATGTGTAGTTTGATTTCACAGCGTGGTCTTCATAAGAGTAAGTTATCAAATGACAATTTCTCAACGGATCTGATTTCAAGTTACTCTTGATTTTAAGAGTGACATGCCTAATTCACAAAAGTAACCAAAAAAAATTCAAAAAATATAATTTTTAACTTTTCAGGACATTCTATTTTTAAATATTCAAAAAGCTTTTTTTAATAGAAATTGGTTACAAATAAGAAATTTTTACATACTCCTTTTTTATCATCGGTAAAATTTACGGGTTGGGATAAAATATATATTTTCTATTCATATTTGGTAGGTCCAGTATATAAGTGTGTTGAGTGAAAGTAAAAACTATTTCTATTGCGGGAAGAGATTTGGGATTTGTAACTAGATATTTGTTAAGTGTGTTGAGTGAAAGTAAAAACTATTTCTATTGCGGGAAGAGATTTGGGATTTGTAACTAGATATTTGTTGCTAAACATAAATGGTGTAAAGCAGCTAGCATATAAAGTTTCATAGACCATTCCCTATACAACTTATTCAATATAAAGTCGGAACACCATATCCTTCAACTTTCTTTTATATGCATTGTTTTAACCCCGACAGGTTTAGAACGATGCATTTTTGTTGAAAATTTTTTTGAAAATTGTTTGTTCAAGTTGTAATTTATCAAATTTGTAAAAATGTTTTGGTAAAATTAATAATGGGCATAACATTCAAATTTATTTGTTTGATGTTCAATAATGTATAGTTCATCCAGATTCATAATTGTGTTTAATTATTTATAGGTCATCTAGATTTTTAATTTAAACAAATTGAAAGTATAAGGATCAATTTGGAATTATAGTGGTGGAAAATTTTACCTGTTTAAAGAAGGTTTGAGAAAAATTGTAAAATACGTAATTTAGCTCAACTTACACATAAGCTGAAGATTATAACGGTTCTCTGGATAGTTCTTTAAGGGACTGTTGCCAGAATTTCAAACGATTTTCCATTCTATTGAACCCGCCTGATCACACTTGTGCTTGGACATATGATGGCATTTAGTTTTTCAAATAATTTGTGGAGGGTTCCTTTTAAGTCATGGGTGGACAGAAAACTAAACAAGAAACCCTAATATCTTATTTTATAAAAATATTGAACTACAGTGGGATCCTGGCAGACCGCCATTAAGCTTGTCCCTGTGTCTGGTGGTGGTGGTCCACATTGTGATCCTTGTGATCAGCCACCAGTGACGCCCTGCTACTTCCTATGGAAGTTACTTCCTATGGAGGTAGTGCTGTGAGACGTAACCTTTCTCCGGGTCATGGGGGACTGTTATATTTATTTATTTATTGCTTAAATGTCATCTTCCTAATCATTCATAGTTTTATAGATCTCACTGTATTTTTGACAACATATTCCAGTCTTAAGAAAATTGTGAATTTACTGTGAATGTTTCCAATTATAACAAACTAATTTTGTTTCATTGCAGCAGAATGGAGTTGCCATGTTTGTATCTGATGGACAGCCCTGTGTAGGTGGAGGGGTTATATCTCCAACAGGAAAAGGTAAATTTTCACTCCCTTTATTTGACTACAGATTACAATGTCTATTTTATTAAATTATGATGTATGTTTTTTGTGGGCACTCATTATTGCATCCATAATTCTTATCCGTTCATATGAATAATAGTACCCGCAAAACGTTGTCCTCTTTTGCAACAGATAAGGTTGATGCATGTCGCCTACTGACTTGTCAAGTGTAGACTGTAAGTAATAAAATGGGCCTACTCCCTAACCCCCTTCCCCCTTCTTGAGATACCATCATCGAATACCCTCTCTGCTTACTGCCAAAACAAATGCTCATCCCTTGACCCTCCCCTTTATATCTGCTGCTTGTACTACTTAATGGGGGTCAACCACGGAATAAGAATAAAGGAAAGGGAAATGGCGCTGGTCTGGCATGAGAAAGCAAGTTGCACTGCTTTGCAGACGAGTTCCTTATTACACACGCATACTCTGTTGGTACAGACACACAGCATGATTATAGGCTAGGAAATTGCTGAACAATTTGTCGTCATTAATAATTAAGCTTGAATAACGAGTAGTTTATTGTACACTTTAATCAAATTATATTCTATGCATGAAAATTTGGCTTATAGTGTTGACTTAAATTTATAAATATTATACTACATGTATATTAAGCTTATTTTTAAGTAAACAATTAGCAATAAAGAAATGTATTCTCCTAGACTGTGCAAATACCAAGATTCTTATGTATTGTATACACCGACAGAACAACTATCCTGTTCCTTATTACATGTGCACACTCTTCTGGTACAGACACAAACATGACGTTTCTGCCCCCTGGGATGAACTGCCCAAATTGACCATTCATACTCATATTTAACCATGTTGTATATTTTACCAAAAAATAGACGTTTTAATCTGAAAAGGCTAGGTTTGTAATGTACTTTTACGGTCTCAGCATAGATTGAAGTTTTCTTGTAGAAAAGTCTCATATATTGCACATAGGGTTCCCTACTTTTAATATTCTTGTCTTACGCTTTATTTGTCAGATATCTCATAAACCACAAGATTTACAAGAGAAAGGTGCCAATCTTTCCTTTCAGGAGATCATGAATATTTTACCCTATTTTGGGNCATGTTGATTATATTTTTTTCTTAATATTTTCAATTTTCTTAATTACATTGAACTGAGTCTTTGCCACAAACTTAATCTTTGAAACCTATTGGTATTGACCTTTGATATTTCAATTTATTTGAAAGAATTTATAGTTTGCATTATCTTAATTAGGTCTACAATATTGGGTTACAATGTTTTAGAAAAAAGAGTTTGTAGTTCCTTTCTTATAAAATTGTGGTATCCAGTTTCAATTTTGAAGTTAATGGCTTTAAGAATGCTATATTTAATTTTTTAGAAATTTTGTCTTACATATTTTTTTGTTGCCATTTAAATTTAACAATTATTATGAATTTTTAGATTATTGAGTACAGATCATACAGAATTATTCTATTGTACTTCTTCTTGTCACCTTATTTTCCTTTTTTTCTTTTGTTGAATGCAGGAGTGTTTATTAGTTGTGAGACTCATATTTTGGCCCCACCCCCTTATCAGAATTATATTTTTTCCCCAAATCCACAACTTAAAAAACAGGTTATTTTACAGGTTGCTGAAACCCTTTCAAACTTTGAAGAAATATGCTTCCCTCTTTTCCCTTCCCCCTTTCCTCTTTTCCCTTCCCTTTTGCCCCTTTTTCCCTTCCCTTTTACTCCTCTTTCCTTCCCTCTTGCCCTTTTTCCCTTCCCTGTTCCACTTCCCTGTTCCCCTTCTCTCTTCCCCTTTTCCCTTCCCTGTTCCCCCTTTTATCTTCCCTTTTCCCCTTTTTCCTTTTTTCTTAATTTTTTTCCCCAAGCCCAATGAAAACTCGGACGGGACGGGACGGGGGTGTAATGGTAATGGGTATGAGAAATACCATAGTCATCACTGTAAACATGTATTCCCACATGGACAGATTTTATAAACACTCAAAGAATGCTGTCCCATTGCTTTAACACACAGGGAGTGTGTCTTTTTCCTATCATTGTCAGAGGTCTGCCATGAGTAATCCAGTTTCCACTAGGAGGAGGGTAAAAAAAACCAGTTTGTGGTATTTGATTAAAAGTCTATTGAAGGCTCCGATCCCTCTTGAACTGGTATCAGCCTGTACTTCAGCCCTGATTTTTTGAGTTTCTGCATTCCTTCTGTTATCTGAGATGTATGTGAGAGAAAACTGAAATTGAGTTACACTGTTCGTTTCCTTTATTCCTTTATCTTGACGGGATTTAGTAACACATTCCACTCAGTTGTGGAGAGCAGTGGCCTTGATCTATCTAGACTTAAATATCTAGTTCAGTGCATATAGCACCCTTTCTCTCAACAGGCTTAGAGAGCTCTACTGACACCCTTCCACTGGGAGGTTTAGATACACAATGATTTTTTAGAAATCATCTATATTGCTTTAAAGTATACTTAGAGCTTCAGCACGGTCAGGTTCTTATACAACTCTCTCCTAGTTTCTTCTGGCTGTGTACACCCTACTTGGGAAAAAAAGAAGATAATAGTGCAGAAAAGGAGGGGTTTCTCAATGTTTCTCTTCCCCCTCCCTCTTTTCAAAAACAAGGAAAATGATAGAAAGTAGAGTCCTGATAGGTTGTGCACAAAGCACTATGATACCGGTTTATAATCTGCCAGCTGCAAGGAAAAGATTGCTGTAGACAAGGCCATATTCCGTTTGTATAATAGGGGCAACTCCCTATTTATGTACATGCTGTGCAAGTCCAATAGGTAACCATAAATGCAGCAGAACTCAGAAAGAGTATAAATCTGGGAGAAAAGTAGAGTTTCTTTATGGGAGACCCTCAATACCCTCCCTTCCTGCCTACTCCAAATTTCCAACTCCTCTATTTGTCACAAACAGCATTTGGAATAAATTTTTTAGTGGACAAATGTTGTGGGCTCCACTTTAAAGACCACTAGGCACAACCAGAATTTGGACATGAAACTCAAAAAGAAATTGCAGAAACCTACAAACAAAAACAAGAAGAAAATAGAAAATTGAACAGGAAAATGGTAGGGAACTCTCCAATGAAAGGCTCTATTCCATCAATTTTTCCTGTTGGTAAATGGAGACATCATTTAAGATAGGGCTGGGAGACATCCCCCCCCCCTCCATTTCACTTTCCTTTCAGCTGAAAATATAGCAGGAATATGTGTTTGAAGCTAAATCAGCCCTGCATTAACCTCTAATCAGTTTGTCGAGTCTGGCATTCTTGGAAGGTCAATAAAACTGAAAACTACAACTACAGTTGAGAAGATTGTCCCAATAATTACTGGTTTTGACAATTTTTTTTTTTAAGTTATAAGAATCAGGGACTGTTAACAGAAGGAAAATAATAAAGGAAGAAGGAGAAAATTGATGCTGAAAAGAAGAAACAAATCAGAATTTTTCTGTATCAACTGTAACCAATTTAAAGATCAGACAACAGCGCAACACAAAACATGGGGTACATGACTTTTAATCGGTCTTGAGCAAAAAAAATTAAAGAAAGACCTTTAAGCTTGATAATAAACTGTAAATAGATTTATCGATAAATCGTTTTATTCGTATGCATGAGTTTGTGCGCACACCCCTAATACAAAATAAATTATCAAAGTTAAAAATAAGATTAAAAATTAAAAAATAATAAATAACAAAAAAATCTATATTGATTTGACCCTATGAACAAAAAATATTTAACTCCAGAATAATGTAAATATAAAACAGATGTTTTTTTAAGGTTTTATTTAGAATTAAACTTTTCTTATTAGGTAAATCTCGATAAAATAACAACTTTACTGTTTTAGTTTTGATACAGAAAAATTGTTGGAAAAGAATTATAGAAAGAAAAAAACAATTAAGAAAGTTAGAGCAGTTAATGGCAGCCACTAGAATTAGTTTCTAACAAATATCTCATCAAGTAGTAAATGTACAGTACACTTTTTGAATAATTCATTCCCTTTTCTTATCTTCACAGGGTTTTTTCTTAGGCTTTTCCACCCAGGAATTCTAACTGATGTATATTATTATAAACCAACTTAGGAAAGAGCATTATTTTGAGGTCCTTTTTTTACTGACTGAAAGATATCTGTCATTACAATTCTTTCAAAACGTTTCATAAAACGAATTTAATAACCATTTTGAAAAATGGTTTTGGTTAATATCTTTGGCCAGAGTAAAAATGCTTAATTGTGTAATAAAAACAAACTTATCAAGCATAATATTTTTACTGTGGATCCTCTTTAAAGTATAAAAGTTTTGAATGTTAAAAATACAGAAATCAAAAGATTGTCCATCTGTAACTATGGGGGGGGGGGGGGGCTTTGATTGGTGGCCAAAAATGATGATGATGTTAACAAATCTGACTTTCCAATCTAATCAGTAGTACTAATGATGACATCATACAATGTTGATATTTGTTTATTGAAAAGTGTTTTCCATAATTTATTTCCAATTTGATTTGAACACCAACTTTATTTTTTAACAAGAAATACCCCTGTAGAGGCTTAAATAATTTTGCTAGTACATCTTATTCATTTACAGGATCAGGTCTGGGTACACCCTTCTCCCTGGTGTACCCTGGTGCCCCGGGTACCATGTTCCTACCCTCCCAGACTCAAGCTGCTGGTGTTGTTTCTCAGCAACAACTACAGTTCCAAGCTGCCACTGCCATCAGGGAGGCTGTCCAATCACAGGTGAGGTTCATAGATAAAGCTAGGTGTGTCTTGATATCAAATGAGATTATCTTCTGGCTTTAACGCCAAATTACTAATGAACCCTTTATTTTCCACAACAATTTTTTTAGTGATTAAATCCTTTTAATTTACCGTCTGTTTCCCAAATTGGATTGTTCATGGCTTTTGTAGAATACTGATATTTAAGTACTCAGGAACTGTTTTCATTTTACTAGTTTTAAGATCATGTTAAATAATTATTATTTAATCTGCACACGCTGTATGCACAATGCAGGGCAGGATAAGCTTTTGTCTATAACAATACTAGATTTGATTGTATATGTGATCGTAGAGTCTCCCTTAATGTCTGATTTGATTTGAACAGTGAACAATATGCTATTTTGAATAAAACAAAATCAGTACTAAAACTCGATGAATCAAAATGTCAGTGTAATGTAAAAACTCTTTTAAAAGTTAAAATATAGATACCAACCAATACAGCTAGTATACATGCATTTTATAGATAAAATTAAAAGTAAAATTTAGTTTAATTAATATTTTTTTATTCCAAAACTAGGTGGTACAGCATTGATACATTTGTTGTGATTTAGATATTATGTTTAACCTTCAGATTGTCGGATATGGTTATTTTTGCCCAGAAAATATTCTGGACAGAAAACCATTAATTATTTATAGACATCAATATCATTTTATAAATTGATAGATTGTCATATTTCTTTAAGGTTTAGTTCAGATATTTATTTTTCCTCTACTGAAGATAAGATTTAGACCAAATCATTTTTTTTTGATATTTTTTTTGATCATCCCAACTCTATTCCTTGTTATTTATGTTGATGGTTTGTGTCTATTGAAGATATGCTGATATTGTTGACATAATGTCATATTAATCCTATGTCTTGCCAAAAACGTGGCCTCACTACAACCTGCTTTATAGCTAAACTCTAATCTATTACTTCAGAGGCTTTTTCTTACAAATATAACTTCCAACTTCTATTATTAAATTACTGATAATGTTGTGCCTTTTATCTTTTAAGTTTTTAAAACCCCTAATTTTAGTTAGAACTATGAAAAACTAAAAAACATTTAGGGGTGTATTTTTTAAACTAACCAAAAAATTTAGATTTGATAGATATCATATAATCTGACAACTTTCAAATTTTCTTAGAAAATTATTGTGTGATAAATTGATTTTCTATTGGTTCTTTATTTTTATCTTCTACGGTTGGAAATTCAGAAACTTTTGAAGGATGAACAATGTACATTTGGTAAATGAAAATATATGGGGGTTTTTATATATCCTGGAACTCATACTTTTTCAGAAGTTAGTTATAGTCATGCATGGTGTCTAAACATTTCAGGGTACTATTCCCTGAATGAGGGGAAAAATCAAAAACAATACATATTTTTCTAATTTTGAATTTTGATTATCTGTATTTGATGACAGTGGTGCTAACTGCTATAAATGGAGTGGGTTGAGGACCTGAATCAAATGAAGTTATATATCTGCATGCATCCTAATCTGATTATAGTTCAGGTGTAACTATCCAAACTTCGTTATACCAACTTTATATCCCAGTATTCTAAGTTCTGTGCGGAGCAATGAAATTAAAACTAGGGGAGTTCTAAGGAACTTTATCCTTTAGGGACAAGGGGGTAGGCACAACTCAGGAGTAGGAATAGTTAGTTCAAGCTTTATTTCAATAATGTTTTCAGGTGAACACTCTTGTATTAGATACTCTTAATCCTGATTGCTAAATTTCAGTATCCTCTGTGGACATTTTTGATTTTCTTTTCATTCCTCTATTTTGGATATCCCTGCTGGATTATGACCAATTTGCTCTAAAATTTCAAAATTTCTCGGTTTCTGATTGGCTGTACGGTTTCTACAAGCGACACTCTAAATTGGTAGCACTTTAGATACTTTCCTGGGTATTAATGCAAGATTAAATAAATGTTACAATTAATAAAAAGAGGAGATGAAGCATTGATCTCCACAATTCCATAACTTTTTGACCTTCTCTTTTCGTTTAAGAATAACTGAAGGATGTCTTAAAAAAATGCTAAATGAGAACCAATACCGTATCATAACCTTTTAAATGGTTTGGATATCAGGTTCTGGTTTTTGAAGTCAAACATTCATGTCTCAGAATTCACCGATTTGTATGAACCATAAAATACTTTCAAAGTTTGTTCTCATCTTACAAGGAATCTCATATATTATGTGCTATAAGTTTCCAATTGTGGGTACATATACTAAAGTATGAAATTTGGGAGAATTTATTCTTACTTGTGCACAAACTCTGACACCATTGGTCCTCTAGTTATTGACCCCCCCCCCCCATTACTCCTCTAGTTATGTGACCACGTTGCTCTTCTAGTCATAATTTTACTCAAAAGTGTAAAAAAAAGCAAATTATTCACTTTCATGTAATATTATGAATTCAAAACATGTTTTTCTCTTTAGCTCTTCAATTAGACGAGTTGTCTTTAAAGAAAACATATGATTTCAATCTTACGTGTATTTTACTCTAGTTTGACATAAATAAGCCCGATGTAGAATTAATATTTGCTCTGTAAAAATGTGGGTTGTGGCGGGGGTAGAAAAGGTTGATGTGGTGCAAGCATGTATTAGAGAAGATAATGAAATAAAGTAAGATAAAGGTTAGCTGTCATACCGCCACCAGATATTTAATGGGACCAGTTATACCTGTCAGTCTTCATTTTACCTTCGCACAACTTTGCCAGGGGGGTGGGGTAGTGTCAAGGTAGATAAGGTTCGGCTAAGGGAGTTATTCAATTATTCTTGTTTTTCAATCTCAAAATGTATCTATTTTGAAGAAAACTAGCAGAAAAATTACAACATCTTCCTCATTGTTAATTGGATAAATTTAAAATGGAATGTACTATTAAGACTGTTCTGAATAGTACATTCCAATCGATAAATGAAGGATCACTCGAAATTACATCTACAGTCCCTTCAAGTCCTAATTGTATTAGACGGCTGTTGCTGGAGGAACCCCAACTGGTTCCAACCATGCAGCTGCTTGGAGATGGGTCAACCCACAGACCACGACGACTACGCCAGGTAAATATTATAAGTCAATTTCAATTTTTTCACAGTTTTTAAATTCACAATCTTTAAGCCATAAACGACTTTAATTATATAGAAAAAAATCTATAATTTTATAAATGATTTTGTTGATATTGAAATATGACTAAGTCTAAGAAGATATCGTCATCGTTGAAGTTCTATCGGAGACTCATGAGCCTTAACATCAAAGATATTTTAAATATTCTGGACTGAAAACCATTAATTTTTATAGACATCAATATCATTTTATAAATTGATAGATTGGCATATTTCTTTAAGGTTTAGTGCAGTGCAGATGAAGGATGTTTGGTGTTAAATATAGTGGCCCCAAATAAAATTTGGTTAATTTGAAAAGGGGCTCTGTGATGAAAAACGATCCATGTGAATAAAACTCTGGTAACTATTTGTAATTCTTAGGTCCTTGTTCCCAGTCCCCTGGATCAAACCAGTCCCTGTCTACTCAGGCCGGTCAGCAGATCAATCAGGCACTTAGCTTTACTCAGGTAGGAGTACAGTACAGTACAGTAAAGTACAGTACAGTACAGTACAGTACAGTACAGTACAGTACAGTACAGTACAGTACAGTACAGTACAGTACAGTACAGTACAGTACAGTACCCTTCTTCTTCTTCTACAAACACGCTTTTAATCATTAAACACTTGGTTTGCAATCTGTTTTATATTTAAGAAATATTAATACTTGGTTTTTAAACGTCGAAGGAAACAAATATTTACTTTCAAATTCTTTAAATTCACTTTGGACTATATCGGTAGTTCCCCCGGAGAAAAGTAACTGATCAGGAATGTCATTTTTGAATAGAGGTTCGCTTGATATGATGCTTACAGTCCCTTTAAGGGTACCGATATATTACTTAAAGGGACTGTTAGCGTAATTTCAAGTGACCCTCCTTGCAAAGAGGATAATGTCCGATTTACAACGGTACCCTTGAAACCTTTATGTGTTCGTCGAGTACAGAAATATGTGTGTAAACAAGTATCTATAAATCTGCTTGTATTATCAGCTGCGGATTCAGATACGTTTACACTTTTTACACACGCATCTTAAAGGGAGTGTTCGCGAAAAATGAAAGGGGGTATAGGCTTACAGCGAAAAATAAGCGCTTTTGATCGCTACCAATCTTACTTCTCTCTGTTGCGTCTATAGGGAGAAAATTGTTAAAAACGACTTATACTGAAGAACAAATTCAGTAAGTTGCAACATTCAACTTGGATCGTAAAATAATCAATTTAATTCAAAATAAATCATTCAGATATTACAAACAATAGTCATCAATTATTTTTCGAAGCATTCGTATCTAGTTAATATTTCTAAATTTTTTTTAATTATGTTTTTTAAAAATAATATTTCACTGGCGCTGGATTTTCGAACATTCCTGGAAAATATGAAAATGTCGTTTTCATTATCAAAAATCCTCGAAACAGGAATAAATGTTTTTTAAAAGTTTATAAACACCGAGTTTAAATAACTACTTTATTACTAAATTTAAAATCTAAATTTATCAAAAACGTAAATATATTCAATAGATAGATAGGTACCCGTTTGTTAATTATCTTGAACATACGGATGGCACTTCCATTTAATTTTAATTTCAACAATAATGAGATTCTTGTGGTCCGTTCTGTTTTGTATTTAATTTCAACAATAGTGGGATTCTTGTGGTCCGTTCTATTTTGTATTTAATTTCAACAATTGATCTTGGGATACTTTCCTTTGTTTACAGATTTAGAAACTTTGTTTTCAAAACTTAGGTGTTTTCTGAACGTTTTTATTTTACTTCCTTATAGTCTCAATTCTACTGTAAATGAAATGATAAAAAAGAAAAAATATTTTTGTACACTTATCTTATCAAGGGAATAAAGTTCTTTTTTTTCTGCAGGTTTTTCAATAATTTTAAGAACATTTTATATAAAGATGTTTTAATTTAGTAAACAAACTTTTTATACCTCTTTCTGTAAACATTAAATCAATGATTCATATTGTTTTTATGATGATGCGGGATGTTATCTTACTTAATTGCCCCTTGGGTATTAATCTTATTTATATTTCTCTTAGGATTTTTTCCATTTCAACCGTTATGAATAACAATTACTGCTTTTTTTTGTAAATAATGATTATTAGACGAATTCCGGGTATGTTCCCTTAGATGCATTCCACTACTTTACAGGGGGATACCCAGCACCAGGAAAATTAGGATAAATTAAACATTTGTATGACTCCATTTCCGTTAATTTTTCTTATACGCGTTTACGACTGTCATTAACTATGTAATAAAGTAACAGTGACCAGATTTTAAATGGAAAATGTCTTTTTTCATAAATTTGTGATATTACAAAACTTCAATTTTTGTTTATTTTAATTAATCTTAAACTTGCTTCTTATTATCTGTCAAATTAATCATAATTAGAATTAAATTATAGGTGTTACAAGCTATAAGGTCTCGCTTCATTAAATAATATACAACTTTATAGGGAGAGACCGGCGAGACTGGAAGTTGAGCTAATTGCAGTATTGTTAAGAAACTTAATGAACTTATATCATTGAAAATAAGTAATTAAAATTTATTTAAAATATCGAAGGTTTATGCAAATTCTTTCAGGCTAGGGTAGCTTGTTGGATGTTTTCTTTATTTTAATTGTTAAAACGACATTTTGAAGAAATCTGCTAATGAAATATTAGACACAGCAAAGGAAATTATGTTAATGAAATAATCGATTCTACGGTTCTAATATGGCTTTCATCGATCGTTTCATTTAAGAAATATGTCCCCAAAGAGCAAATTAGTCTTAATTTAGTTTACATGTTTTGTCCGGGTTATTAAATAATTGTAAAAATGTTTCTTCTGCTGACTGAAACAGCTGGTGAAATATTACAAACGACTTAACGCTTTTATTTAAAATTGTACACCGTAAAAATGTCTCATAGTTATCAATGAATACTTAAGGTTATCTCTACAATACTGCACTTTCAGCTGAACTAGATTGTCTAGCCGGTCTTTCCCTTTGAAAGTCTTATCAAGATGACAATTTTTAACAGATGAAGGAAGATTTATGTTACAAAATTTAAATTTTACAATTAAAGGCGATTCCTGTTGGGTGAAAAGAGTAAAAATAAAGTGTCTTATGTTTAACCCTCTGTAGCTCTTTATATTAAACTTGGATATGGGATATATTTTATTTTAACCCATTTAAAACTAAAGTAACAGTTGGAAATCCAATAAAAGTTACAAGTAGACCTATCTATAATACCAACAATTCAACTGCAACTTTTTAGATTATTTTTTAAAGAGACAGTAGATGTAATTTCAAGTTACCACAATTCTAAAATACAATACAAAAATTTTTTTTTAGTAGTGTTCGAATAGAATATGTTATTCTTGAAATAATGTCGCTAGTCCCTTTAAGACTATTTTTTATCCTTGTATCGTGGTGATAGGGATGGGTTTATCTTCTCTCCCACATCCGGGATTCATAGTTCCGGACAGGAACTACTAATCTATCAACTCTCTTCTAGCTTTTTATAATATTCAACGGTAACCAAGGTGTTCATTAAAGGGACTGTTCGTGCTTGTTAAAAGGGGGTATAAAACAAGTCAGATAATTGTATCGAATCTATTCTTGGCCCTTTTTTAAGACTACCAATATTTTGTTTTGAGTCGGACAAAATATTATTTTTCAACTGCAGGGTATATTGATAAAATTTGCGATCTCTATTCCATGGGATGTTAGTTTCATAACAGGTTTAAACCCCATTTCTGTCACGTTGAGTGTGAGAACTGAGCCAAATCGCGTTTTTTTCAAAAAATTCGGTATTAATGTTGATCCAAACCTCACAGAGTAAAAACATAGGTGTTAGTTCCACAATTTTTAAAAGTACATTTCGGTCTGGGTTGACCCTCTTCAGTTCTTGTGATTTATTTCTGTCATGAAGATTAAAAACTAACTGTATTCACAAAGAGTTTACTTGTAAGATCTACGATTGTTATGATTGTATATTTCCGTTCTGCTATAGTATCAATTATATAATACCGGCAGACTGTCTTATGTATGCATCATTAGTTTTCTCAAGTTGATATAGACATATATATATTTAGATATCATATATCTAAGTATAATAATATTTGTATTTAAATTCTGTCAAACAACAAAGCAACAAATTGTTCCCTGTATCAAACCGTCTGCGTTAAAGAATTTAAATAAAGCATCAAAAAAGCTTACTAAAAGAAGCGCGAAGCGCTGAACATCATTGGTTTGGCACCCATGACGACATTTTATCAATATTATGTGTCTTGAAATTGTTTAAAAGCAAATGGTTTTAGCAGTAGGTTGAGAATCAACTTGTTAGGGTAAATGGGTCTGTTTACAGTGCACATTTGATATGTTTTTTGTTCATAGGTCTATTTAGAATCTAACATGAGTCTTAATATTCCACAATTTGATGGGTCTCACTGTATTATATACAGTTTGATATGGTACAATTTTTTGTTATGTTTAAAACACTAAATTAACCCAGAATTTAAAAAAAATATATAAATAAAAAAATGAATTTGAAAATAGATGATAAGTAAAAATAAAACTTTGAAAATGATATAAAAAATATGAATTTGAAAATAGACGATAAATAAAAATAAGAATTTGATAATAGACGATGAACTAAAAAAAGAAATTAAAAATAGACGATGAATAGAAATAAGAATCTGAAAATAGACAATGAATAAAATTAAGAATTTGAAAAAAGATGATGAAAAAAAATTAGAATTTGAAAATAGACGATGAATAAAAATAAGAATTTGAATGTTGATTTTAAAATGCTATTGATGCATGCAAGCCCAGCAACTGCATTTTAATAGAAATCCTTAAATCTAGTTTATTAGGCATAAACGCATATAGTTGCATTCACTGCAACTTTAATTAATATAACAGGCATGTCCCATAAACAAAAGGAAATAATTTCAGTTTCCTTTCAGACAGGGGTTAGATGTAACATTATGCATTGTTTCAAGAAATCTTCTAGTCCACATTTTTTTTTAATAAATTTAAATAGGAAAGAAAATTTTGACATGTTTTTTGACCCTGATTGATACTTCTTACTCAAAAACTGATTTATTTTAGCAAAAACAGAGTTAAAAGTACATAAAAATATTATACCTAATGTTTCAGGGAAATATCATTGGGGGAGGGGGAATCATTTTTCAATAACATTTTTATCCCTGTAAATTTATGAAAAATGGCCGCTGGAGAAAATGGGAAAAAGATTTATGGATTTAAGGAAATCTTGTTAGTTGGATGAAGCTACAGCGGGAAGATTGATTTGGACAGTTGGTTGCATTTTCTATCTCGAAACAATAAATATTATTCACAAGAGAATAGACCCGCCTTGAACCATACAAAATCAAAGGGGTACTTATATCTATCTATAAGATAAAGCTCTTCTTTCATATTTATTTGTTTGTATGTTAGCAATAGCTGGCCAAACGGCTGGACCGAATGGCCTGACATTTTTTGAAGGAACCATTGAGTACCCGGGGATAACATAGACTAAAAAATTCGAAATTATTTCTTTAAAAATTCGAATTTTTTTCAAAATTCGATTTTTTAAAATTTCCCGGTCAACGTTGGCACTTCACCTAGTTTAGAATAAAAAAAGCAAGTTAAACCAAATCAAAAATTGGGGGAATTAAGGAGGAAAATTATCAGTTTTAACAGGGAAGATAATAATTTTTGGGTAAAAGTATAAAAACGGCGAAAAAGAACTTGATGGTTGATGTCCAACTTTTCTTATATCTACTCTAAATCCTCTTTCAGTTTAATGAATTATGACCAATACGATTAAATCTTTTTGAACTAGTCTTTCTTCGCTCAAAGATTGGTTTCCCTAAATTTTCCATTTGTAATATGATGCTAGCTTGTTAAGATAAATTTTTTTCCATTAAATAACAAACTTTCTCAATATTTTAAAGCGGAAATATCAAGTTGAAGTTGCAAAAATAATATTTGTTTGATCAGCTCTTGTGAAAATATACGACAGTTTGATGTTTATCGTACTCCACGCTGCAAGTAGGTTTATTACATCCAACATACTTTTTTAAATTAATGAAGTAAAAAAAATTTAATTTTGAAAATAAAAACTAATTTTGAATTGTTTTCGCATAAGTCATCCCATGGGTTCCCTAAATAAAATTCAGCCAATTTGGTTTAGCTGTTTGGCCAGCTATAGCTAACATATAAATATATATATAAACAAAGAGCTTTATTGTATAGATTGAACTTTGCGATATTGCCAGAAAAGTTCATATTTTGAGTTACTGACCATTTGAATAAAGTGAAACTTTTTATGTAAACTGGTTTTAAAAATTTCAATACAAGATAAACTCCCCCCCCTCCGCTCCATCCTCCCCCTCTCTGAATGGTTCAGTAAGTTTTAGCAAAAAAGAAGAAAAATGTTAAAGTGAATCCTTAACCATTCATTATGTTAGACGTTTAATTGTTGTTATTTTCTTACAGTAGTGGGACCGTTTTAGTGATTTCATTGATTTGTCTTCTATGCTAAAAGATTGCAATATATTTGTGAAGAAAAAAATCTGATTTTTTGCAGTAAAATATTAATCAATGAATTATAGTTCTAATAAAAAAAAACTGGTTTCTTTGACATGAACTTTTTATTTTTGTGTAAAAATATCCTGATCAAACCCTATGTTGCACTACAATATATTTCAAGATTCTCAACATGGTTAAATTTTAAAATATCCCCAAGTTTTGTTTTACGTTTAAAAAATACGAATTTTTATGTCCGTAACCTGTAAAACCTATACTCTGTCTGTATTTTATTTGTTTAATCATTGACAGAACATTTCCCTCTTTGACACATCTAAACTTGATTTTATTTTTAGCTTTAGAAACAAAATTAACTTGAGTTAATTATACTTTTTTTTACAAGTTTTGTTATTGCATGAACATTAGCTTAGTTTAACCCCATATATAAATGTAATTGCTTGTAATTCTCTCTTTAAATGCATGTTATTGTTTACCGTATTTGATATTTTTATTTTTCTATGTTAATGTTAAGAATATTTTCAGATAACTAAAAGTATTGCCATGTATTATCAGGAATCAGGAGTATGGGGTCCTGCCACCACCTACCCACAGCAAACTCAACAATCTCTAACCAACACTCAACCTGTGTTTATCCCTCAAACCTCGGTGTTTACACCAACTACGCCCCTATACCCATCACCCACCCTGGGAGCTCAGTATCCTCCGGTCAACATGTTCACTGTCCCTCAGCAGACTCTCTACCCGGCACAGCAGCAGCTGATGGATCAACCCTTCACTCAGGACGGGTTCAGTCAAGAGTCGTCTTCGTTTCCTGACTCCAGTAGCGGTCAGAATACCGGGGATGCCTCTATTTATCAGGTAACGTGAATTTTAAATACCCGTTCAATTAGGTTTGGTTTACTTTCTACTCTGTGGCGTATTATGATAGCTCTGGAACATGTTTTTGTAAACAAACAATGCTAACTTTATTCTCATTATTGCGACGTTAAAAGGTCCGGATAGTTTGGAACTTCTCAATAGTTTCAAATCATTGACAAAATTCTACCAAACGTAAACTGTTTAGTTTAATAATATTTCAATGTTTCGTCTCGATCGTTGTCTTCCTTTCAAAAATTTAAAAACAAAGCTATTTTAACATCTTCACCTTGCATATGCTAAAAATATGTTATAATTAATGTAAAAGTATCTTTTATAAAATATTATAATATTTTGAATTTGATGTTTGTGACCGATATGCAGTAGTCGCATTGATTCATATTCTCACGCCCAGGCGTTTTTTTTAACGTGACACCGGCTTGCATATCCTAAATGTTTTTGCATTTGTTTTGAATTTAATTCGTTTTTGAGCTATCGTAGAATGTAAATAAACCTTATACTTCTTTCCTTAGTGATACTGACATTTCTCCCCCCGTAGAGTATTTCTGATTATAATTAAAGGGTTTGTAAGCGTAATTTCAAACGACCCTCCATGTAAAGATGGCAATGTCCGATTTACAACGGTACCTTAACCTTTGATTTTTTACCAAACTTTTGATAAAACGATAGGTTTTTTTGAAAGAACAATTTTTCAAACAAACTTTTGACAAAACTATATTTTTTTCAACTGCAGAACTAATGATTTTACTGAACAATCGATTTCAATGAATGATCGTTCAATTAAATAAAACGAACGAAATAGATAGAAAAAGAACGAAAATTTTGAGACCGACTCGAAATAAAATTTTTTTGAACGATTGAAAAAAACGAACTTAATGGGTCGTTTTCGAAGATGAACGAACAACATAAATAAAACGAATGCGATTATCTTTAATTTTGTGTAAGTAGATTGAATCTAAAATTTCTAAATCGATCTACAAGAAAGAGATGCATACACTTAGCGGATGACTTATAATGTTTGGTGCTAAGAATTTTTAGTTTTTATGAAAACTCGTTTTATCGAACTTTTGAAAACATTTCCAAATTACGAAAAATTTAATTAAATTTATGAAAAAATGTTCGGATATTAACGTTATTTCGATCAAAATGTCCGCNCATACAATCTGCCACAAATAGTATCTTACAACATACAATCTGTTACAAATAGTATCATACACCATACAATCAAATAGTTTTTCCATACAATATGTCATAAATATTATCTAAGTCCATAAATTCTGCCACAAATCGTGTCTATGCGACAAAGGGAGGCCCTATGACTGCCACAAAAGTTCCAGAAGAACCCCTAAACCAAGGCACTGCTGATGGTTCAGTTCCTGCTGCTACTGGTCAAGCTACTACTTCTGGTCAAGCTGCTAATGAAGCTGGAGGCAACATGTTCACACAAATCAAGGTGAAAAATATGACCTGTCTAGAGGGTAAGGAGTGCTCAAGGTCTAATTTAATGGTGTCTTATGTCAATTTTAAAAATCTAATTAAGGAGCTAGATGCTTTTCAGGCTCCCCCGTGTCGTGTTCGATTCAGAATGGTACCCTTCAATTTTTTTTTAATAGAACTGTGTAAAAGTCAAGGTGTCAACAAAAAGTTTCATATATTTTCTTTTTGCTGTTTAATTCTAAAAAAAAGGAGATTTTGTTAACACATTTAAACGTGAACTTTTACAAAAACAAGATGATAGATTTTTACAGGATTAGAAAGAATTCTTGAAAACCTTTTTTGCTTTGTGAAAAGGAAAACTGTATTTTAAACTGCATTGAACTACAATTGTTTTCAGCTTATCACGTAACATCAAAAGAGACTGATCTGAAATATATTCAGTGAGGTTTCACTTTTTTATTAAAGGAACTGTAAGTGAACTTCCACTTACAGAGTGGCATGTCAAATTTACAGCAATACTCTTTAAACCTTTGCTTGATCAAGGATTTCGTAGATATTTGTTTATATATAGCGGGAAATTAAGTGCCAAGACCGTACGAGTGTACACTAGCATGTAGAGTACAGTGTACACTAGCATGTAGAGTACAGTGTACACTAGCATGTAGAGTACAGTGTACACTGTAACCTCAAGACTCAATCTTCAGCTAACAAATGAGGACCTCATCGTTGTTCGAACAAAGGTTTTAAGGGTACCGTTGTGAATCGGACATGCCTCTCTATAGGCCCGTAGCCAGGGGGGGTGCAAGGGTGCAGGTGCACCCCCCTTTCTTCTGAAAGGGGGGTGCAATGACGAATTTGCACCCCCCCCCCCCTCCCATATAAAAGAAATTGTTTTTCATAATTTTCTAAAATCTNGCTCCCCCCCCCCTCCTTGAAAATCATTTTCCCCCATAATTAACGGTTTTATTCGCTGAATTGGGAAAGATAAATGATTTTTAGAGCAAAATTGATAAATTTGTGTTAAAAGTATCTTAAATTAGGGAAAAAGTTGCCTTTTGATATCAAATTTTTAATTTTCCCCAAATCATCAACAATAATTTTTTCCGCTCGAGGGGGGGGGGTAATTCTTTAAAATATACATCACTGTGTTGTACAGGAGAAGCGAGGATGCCGGGTCTAGGTTCTCTAACTACTACCCGGAGAACAGGTTTACCTTCCCCACCTCGGGACCTCTAACTCCCATCACACCGTCGGTAGAACCTGCACCTGGTTCCAAGACGGGCTATACGGTTCCTCAAACTCCCAACACGCTCACCAGCAAACAGTTCTTCCATTCAAACCAGGTCAAGTTATAGCAGGGGAAATGTTTAAAAATTACCAGGGGGTAATTTTTATATGATAATAGCTTGGAAACCCAGATTATCCTGCAAATAAATTTTCTCTATAAAAATTTAAAGTGAACTTGTTCAAATTAGACGTTTTAAGCGAGCTAAGAAAATTCTCAAGTCGTAATATGAAGTAATGTATTAGAAGTTTCGGAACCTACCTTTTTATATGTCAAATGTCAATCTAATTGTTGTTCGGAGGAAAAAGCTCGTTTGATTCTTCCATTGGAAACCAGCCATAGGAAAAATACTTTAAACAATACACACCATGGTCCATCGTTAAATTAAATTTAAAGTAGTTTCAAGCGACCCGCCATTTTTAGTGTGGCGTGTTGGATTTTACTAAAATGCCCTTTAAGAGTTTCTTTAAACAACGATAAGATAAGAGCCTCTTTAAGCTCGTAGATTGTGTGTAAAGAATTAATAAGTAATGCAATATGGAGTTCCTACATGAACGAAATTAATAATTATGCATTTTTAAAAATATTAAATTATTGCATCTTTTGGAACAAAATATAAATATCATAATTAAGAGCACATTAGGAGAGAGTAAAATTTTGGATATTATTTACAGAATTACAAGATATATATTAAATATCCCGTAATTTTATTTTATCTTAAATTAGGAAACTTGAAACATTTTATCCGTCGTCTGTTCAATTTTGTCCTTTCAAAATTAAATGAATCTAAATTTGTTCACTTCAAAATTGAAAAAAAAACTTCATGATTCAGTTAGTTGTGCGCCGTGCAGGTTCGAGGTTTAGGAAGCCTTATAAAAGATTTTGAACCTGATTTGTATTATCTTTCTTTACGGTTTCAATCACATCTTAATTAATCCTTGATTGTTTTCTTTTCGGCCGCCAAGATCCAGTTTTTAAGAGGGATCCGCGGAAAATAAATGAAATGTATGCCTTACTTTCCTCCTAGAATCCATCCATCAGTTGTATTGTATTATGATGGATCAGGTTTAGACTACTTTATGCAGAAACTCCTTCTAAACCTCCCCTTCTACATTCATAGATACAGTACCATACAGAAGTCATAGATATAGTACAAAACAGACTCATAGATACAGTACATTACAATACAGACTCATAGATACAGAACAGTACAATACAGACACATAGATACAGTACAATACAGACTTAAAGATACAGTACAGTAAAGACTCATAGATAAAGTACAATACAGATTCATAGATACACTTTATTACAATACAGACGATCATAGATACAGAACAGTACAATACAGACACATAGATGCAGTACAATAAAGACTTATAGATACAGTACAGTACAGACTAATAGATACAGTACAATACAGATTCATGGATACAGAACAGTACAATACAGACACATAGATACAGTACAATACAGACACATAGATACAGTACAATACAGAAGTCATAGATACATTACAATACAGACTCATCGATACACTCCAATACAGACTCATAGATACAGTACATTACAGTACAGACTTATATATACAGAACAGTACAATACAAACACATAGATACAGTACAATACAGAAGTCTTAGATACATTACAATACAGACTCATAGATAAAGTACAATACAGAAGTCTTAGATACAGTTCAGTAAAATGCAGACTCATAGATACAGTACAATACAGAAGTCATACATTACAATGCAGAAATCATAGATACATATACAGATTCATAGATAAAGTACAGTACAAACTCATAGATACAGTACAATACAGACTCATGGATACATTACAGTACAAAACAGACTCATAGATACACTGTGCAATACAGACACATAGATACAGTACACTACAATACAGACTCATGGATACAGCAAAAACAGACTCAACTATACAGTACAATACAGACTCATAGATACAGCACAATACAGACTCATAGATACAGTACATTACAGACTCATTGATACAGCACAACACAGACTCAACAATACAGTACAATACAGACTCAACGATACAGTACAACACAGACTCATAGATACAGCACAATACAGACTCATAGATACAGTACATTACAGTACAGACTCGTAGATACAGCACATTATATATTGTCAATGAACTGAGTTAATTACTGATACCTTTGTAAAACAGATTGTCTATAAATAGAGTGTTGCTGACACCTCTGTAAAATTGATTATCTATGAATTGAGTATTACTGATACCTCTGTAAAATAGATTCCCTATGAATCTAGTATTGCTGAATACTCCATGAATAGAGTATTAGTGATACTTCTGTAAAATAGATTGTCTGTAAATTGAGTATTATTAATACCTCTGTAAAATAGATTGTCTACGAATAGAGAATCAGTGATACCTATGTACTACCTCTGTAGAATAGATTGTCTATGAATTGAGAATCAATGATACCTCTGTAGAATAGATTGTCTGTGAATTGAGTATCAATGATACCTCCGTAGAATAGATTGTCTATGAATTGAGTATCAATGATACCTCTGTAGAATAGATTGTCTATGAATTGAGTATCAATGATACCTCTGTAAAATATATTTTCTATGAAATGAGTATTCAATCTTGTTTATACAGGGAGAAAGGTAATTATCTACTCATCCCCTTATTCATACAGGGAGAAAGGTAATTATCTACTCATCCTCTCATTCATAAAGGGAGAAAGGTAATTATCTACCCATCTCCTTATTCATACATGGAGAAAGGTAATTATCTACTCATTCCCTCATTCATACAAGGAGAAAGGTAATTTTCTACTCATTCCCTCGTTCATACAGGGAGAAAGGTAATTATCTACTCATCCCCTTATTCATACAGGGAGAAAGGTAATTATCTACTAACCCTCATTCATTCAGGGAGAAAGGTAATTCTTATTCATACAGGGATTGATTAATCCTTCGTGTATATTCAATGTTTATTAATCCTCAATGTTCCATATTTATTAATCCTCCATGTTCCATATTTAATAATCCTCCATGTTCCATGTTTATTGATTCTAAATGTTCCATATTTATTAATCCTCCATGTTCCATATTCATTAATCCTCCATGTTCTATGTTCATTAATTCTCCAAATTCCATTTTTATTAATTCTTCCATTGTTCCATATTTATTAATCCTCCATGTTCCATATTTATTAATCCTCCATGTTCCATGTTTATTAATTCTCCAAATTCCATGTTTACTAATTCTTCCATTGTTTCATATTTATAAATCCTCCATATGTTCCATGTTTATTAAACCTCCGTATTCCATATTTATAAATCCTCCATGTTTAGGTGAACTGACCCTAGTAAAAGATCTAAGTACTGAATCCTCTATGATCCCTCCTGAGCAGGAGAAAAGAAGTCTCTTCGATTCTCCTTTCAAGCGGTAATTTTTTATAACACAATCAAGGAAGATATCCTAACGTTGTGTTAGACCTATCGAACACTTTTTGAGAATTTGCCAACATTGATTTTCCCCTCATTGAATTCATTGTTTTCCGCGTGTAATTATACAATGAGATTGAGAACATATTCATGTTTTATCAAATACAATCTGATTACAATGAGTTACATTTTTATTCAACCATTTAAATCATAATTGTCAACTTTTTATAGGTTTTTGGAACCTTTATTCGACGTTATATTTTTTGGGGCTTCTTATTCCAAATGTTTTAGATTCACTCAGTTCACTGGTATTCCGTCTATGAACCGGTTCCCTCTGCAGCAGGTTCCAACAAACCGGTTCCAACGCCGGCTCCCGCCATCCAGAATCCCGTACCGGCCAGGCACTTCTCGTCGCGGTTCTAGTTCCCAGGATAAACCTCTAGTGTCTCCGAGGTTCCTCCGACAGCCTCCGAGCAGGCTCTCCGATAACAAGGTAGGATGAAGGCTTTTTTTAGGATTTCATGAACTCAGTTTTTTTTTGTAATTATTGAAAATTTCAACATTTATTAACGTTCATTTTAATTTTTTAAATTACATACCTCAGCTACCTCGAGGGTAAGGGCCGGTGGAAGATGATTTTGAAATAAAATAATTTGAAATTAATTGTCAACCCTGTTTTTTTAATTCAAATTTCACAATTTTGACTGCAACACCTGAAATAATAATAATTGTCGTTTCTCAAAATTATTTTTAATTTTTGTAATGTCTGATATTTCTGTAAGTAAAGAAAATCCGCTTTCTTTTTATAGCGACGATATTCAGTTGATTTTGAATTAGAAAATGTTGGAAGATTTTATAGTTTCAATAAATTGGTTTCCTCAAAATCTGATAAAATTTGTGCAACACCGAAGATTATAAATTTCCTCTGGGATCGGTAAAATATAAACTTGTTTCGAGTCAGGGCCAATATATTATATGTATTCTGAACCTCTAAACCAAACATTTAAATACAAATTCACAGTTTTTAACGTGAAAGGAAATAGGACACTCACTTCAATTTGTTAGAACTCAGTTTTTAAGGGTTTTGAATCTCTTTACCATTTTGGTTGTACATTTTCAAACACGGGGTTACTTCTAATTACGTTACAATTTGTTACTTTCAGGAAGGGGGTATATATGTACTTAACAATCATTCATGTTTTCCTCAATAGCTAATATTTAGGGTTTCTATCACTCTTTTGGGAAACCAAATTGAATCTTGGGACACCTATAATTTTAAAATGTTTATAATTAATAAACTTATGTTGAAAAAGGGCTTGTAGGTCCAATTAACATTTTATTTTCATCTTATGATATTCAAAATTATTATTAAATATTGTCTAGGTTGGTTTCTACCAGGCTGGGGATAGGTTTGGACAGAAGACCCAGCTTGAGGAGGGATTTAAGGACGATGGCAAGGAGGACGGAGGACGGATTAAGTCCAATTGTTCTTCTCCAATACTGGAGAAGAAGGTTCTAGATGAACCCGACCTTCTCCAAGGCCAAATGCAACGCCTGAAGCTGTAGTCTTGTAGTTTTTCATATAGATCTGCTGGCAGATTTTTAAAACCAAAATGGCGGATTTTAAAAATCAAAATGGCGGATTTTAAAAATCAAAATGGCAGATTTTGAAAATCAAAATAGCTGATTTTGAAAACCAAAATGGTGGATTTTGTCATTCTTCCTCTGTTTGACTGCACTAAATCTCCCCAGCATCCCTAAGGGTTTCATCCCAATAAACTGTTTAGGCCCAAACTCCATATTAATGTGAAAATTGATCGCTTGATCACGTGAATTCTTTACACTCTATCATATGGTATTTGTGTTGTTTTTCCAATACGCAGATCCTGGACTAATAATTTTGTTGCTCGCATGATACTCAATATAGGTTGTTATATAGTGTGCAATGCACGTGGGGTCACAAACCTGAGTCCGTTGAAATCTAGTGCCAAAAAATCTCAGCAAATAAATGCAGAAAATAATCTTTTTATGCACTATGCAGAACAATCTTGCTCCGTATATTATATATATATATATATATATATAAACCTAGAAAAGTGTCAAAACATTTTATAAAAAGATCTTTTAGCTATTTTAATGTCAATCGCATGTTTTCTCCATATATGCATGTAAGCACTCTGCTCAATCTGTTCTCATGCATGAATTTAAAGCAATAACAAGGCTGAAAGGAGTTTTTAAAAAGCTTGATGTATACTTTAATTGGATTGGTTTTATCCCTGCCAAAAAACAACGATTTTTAATTTCTTAATTCTTTTATCTACGCTAAGTAAATACATTTTCGTATTTTTCCCCACCCAGATTAAAAATGAGCAGAGCCGTGAATAAACATGTAAGCAAACCTTCTTCTTTACTATGTATAGTGTAAAATAATTTGTCTACTTGTCCTTGTTTTTATGCCTGTCCCTGTCCACTGTATCTAGATTACAGCGGTACCAAAAGCCTGGTCGCTAGACTGGTTTGAATTTTATTTCTACCGCCCATGGAACTATAATTGGACCGGTGGTTGAAATACTTTCGCTAGCGGTTACTCTTTTACTGCAGTCGCTTAGATTATTACCGCCGTCGGTTGAACAAAGTTTTACCACACAGATCGATGACGGGACAGTAAAAAGTATGTAATCTTCTAGGCAACATTTTTGATTAGATAATTTTTAAACTAGAAAATAAGACTGTGATCATTTTTTAAATAAATCTATGTACAAGTATTAGTATTTTATTAATTTTCCTTCAGGCATATTATTAGATTTTATGAAGCATACTCCTCGAACGTAAAATGGGCCTGTATTAAAATTTAAGAAGGTTATCGTTTATGTTAGAATTCTTCTGGGATAGATCGTTCGTACAGAAGCTTTTGGTCATGTTGTGCTTAGGATTCGGATCTGTTGGTTCCGCAACATTTGGCCTTTATAACCTAAATCTGGATCCACGGATTCAAAGGTCTAAATAAAAGCTAATAACTGTAAGTAAAAAAAGAACTGTTTTTACAATTTTCATAATCTCTGAATGCTTCATGAGTTTTGGCATAAAATTAAGAATTTGTCTGATCGTTTAAAAATCAGAAAATCTATAAGAAATGTTCATGCGCTGGATCCAAAGCAACTGATCACAGGCTATCTAGTAACACTTTAGTTTTAGCACAGATCGAAGATAGCTGGATAATATAATTTTTCAACCATTAACCAGAAAAGTATTTTTAAGGCATTTTAATATCACTGTTTAAAAAAGTAGGCTTTGCTTGGAGGACCAAGGAAGACCATTTACGCAAGGGACTGTTTGGGGGAAGATCGGAAGCCCGAGGGGGGACGCGCAATGCCGGAAGTAGGTAAAATGAGATTCAGAAGCTGTGCTGGGGAGATTACCTTCCCTCCCTGGACCAAGTTACAGTCAGATTTGAATTTTATTATTTTTAAAAATCTAATTGGCCATCGGTCAAATTTCATTTTGAGTCTGTCGTCACCATTTATCTTTTATAACTTTGTTTTTATATTTGAATCTGCTGCTGAATTAAAGAAATTGGAAAACCAGTTTCTAGATACCCTCTATTTATAGAAAGGCATGTTCGATTTTAAATGGTACGTTTAAGCATTTTATGTTAGGGATAAATGAGACTTCGTGACAGCCATATTTTTAGTTATAAAATAATTTCTAATAAATTGCCTCTTTTTATGTGACTTGCAGATTTCTGCTACAGAAGCTATAGAGGAAATTGTCTGAATGAAACTCTTTTAATGCTAGAAAAACGACGATATCTTTCACGGTTCTGATCAGCGCGGTGTTAATCGTACATACAACTCTTATAGGAGGGTCACTTGAAATTCAACTTTAAGAAAATGTAGTAAATGATTGTATACTTTTAATTAAAAATTTCCCCCAGAATAACACATTTTTTGCTCCTTACAGAGTTCAGAGATTTTCCACGGGGTTCGGAGACTGTTTCTGCAGGGTTTTGGAGACTTTTCCACGGGGTTCATGGCCGCTTGGCCTTCCTCATCAGACTTTACCTATCTTGACTTCTTAATCTAGAGCAGTTTGGGTGTATGCTCTTCAAGTTAGTATAATTTGTAAAGAAAACTGAAAACGTCATTATATAAGCAACCCTCCATTCATAGGGGGGGGGGCCAATGAGCACATCCAATTCACAATAGTTTCTTTTAAAGATATTTCTTTTTTTGCTTTTGATCGTTGTTTTTTTTAGGGGGGGTGGTTCTCCGTTAAAGTAACCTGCGCGTTTCTTGCTTCAGAAACAATGAAGAAACGAACTTATTCGTCAGTTACTTTATATTCACGATTTTATGCAAATTTAAACTTGTTTCGTTACCAAATCATTATTTAAATATGTCATTAGAAGATTATATGCAAGACTTTATTTAACGCAGGGATTGTCAAAAATGAAAGAGTTCCAGGTCGTCTTTATGGTCTCATCCTTCCTGGGTAACCTTGTACACTAGCGATTTGTAAAGGGTGAAGGTTTATGTTATTTATTCTGAAAATCGACGAATATTCTTATTTGAAAATGTCATACAGTCTTCGTCGCATATATCAATACAATGAAGACTACTTTCTATTTCAATTTTAATCTCTACCAAGTTTTCAAACCGCTTGGATTCATACAAAATGCTAGTGTAAGCATGGAGAGAGGCTTATTTGTAGATAAACTATAGTTAATGATAGCAGTGGGACGGATAACAAGTCATCTCGTCAATATGGAGTAAAAAGATTTGGCAGTTAAAAAATGCCAACCCATAGAATGCATTGAACGCACGACGGGGCGCAAGTTTGAATTCAAGCCAAGCTAATAGGCATGAGAGACGGCTTGACATGAGGCAGAAGGAAATAGAATTAGCCTGAGCTGAAAACTTTAGAATGGTGGATATCGGGATTAATGCTTGATCCTCTCTTTTTGATAATCTCAAGATTAACATAATCTTGCAAGATTATCTTAAAAGTGTATGAAAAACGATATAATTCAAATTAATATTTAATCATCTGAGAAACTGTAGCAGCCAATCAGAGAAAATCGGGCAACCAATGAGAGAACAGAAAAATTCTTGAAAAGACGCCAATACAGTTTACGAACTATTCCTGTCCTCTCATTGGAGAAAACAATTTACGGATATCCAAGGAGAGAGAAAAAGAGTGGATTAGGACTAAAATGAAAAGTTTCCACAGTGGATATTCGGATCAAGAAGTCAGGATTAAAGTTTATCCATTCTAAAGTTCCCTGGGCTCTGGGCTCTGGGCTCATACCGAAACAAAAAGTTAGTGTTCACGAAGAATCCGAAGACGAAAGATTAACTCGTCGTATGATGCAAATGAAAGGCAGAGAGCTCCGGCTTTCCATGATTCATTAGTGTCATTTTCACTTGTTCATTTTTTACTTGTAAATACTCTGTAGATTTACTCACATTAGTTTTAAGGCTTTAGATTTCCTTTATTTCAACCACTTTTACATGGTAACACTAGCAAAGAGAAGCTGTTACTCAACAGACTTATTTAATGTTTACTTGAAAACTTGTAATTTAAAATTAGAAACGTCGTCTTCATAGTTTTAATAAAAACGCTTACCACTTTAGTAGAGACTAACTAATAAAATAATTAATACAATATACTGCAAACAAGTCAGAAAGGATACTAGGGTAAAGTCAGAAAGGATACTAGGGTAAAGTCAGAAAGGATACTAGGGTAAAGTCAGAAAGAATACTAGGGTAAAGTCAGAAAGAATACTATACGTTGCTGATCGGCATAAACATGGATTATTACTATTAGTTGTGATTCAAAATAAATGTTCGCTTGATCTATGATTGTCATTTTATTTCCTTTGTATGTTGTATGTGAATAAATCTTTATAATATAATAATTTTGGAAGGACTTTAAACTGGGAACAAATGAGGATCAGAATTAAAAATTACGTTTAAAAAGCAATTACTATTCAACTCATTATATGGGCGAAAACGTCGATATCAACGTTTAACTTGTGAAACCCTGGTGCCCTGTCTGTTAAAAGTTTCAGATAATTTCTCAAATACAATAGGTCAGAGCTAATCATAATGCAAAGACGGGTTGAAAATATAGGAAAAAGTAAAACAATTACTTTTTCATCCCTCTCCCTCTCACAAAGATGTACAGATTCAGACGTTCAATTTATAAGGCACATATTAAGTAAACCTAAAATGTCAAAGTTAACATATTGCGTAGACATTGCATCAAGATTAAAAAATATAACACACCTTATAGATTTATAGTTAAATAGATAGATCAAGTTTAATAAAATTTCATAGATACGACATTTTATTTTACATAAAATAGCTCATAGATATATTATAAATTTAGAAGTACAATCAACAGGACACATTTAAATTCTATAAATTTCATAGGAATGATATTTCATATGCAGTTAAGACATTTCATATATAAGATATTTACAGATATAGAAGTTTGGGCAACGCCGGGTACTCCAGCTATAGCTATCATGTACATTATTATTATAAACTCCAGCTAGCTACATTTTTATCATCGTTATTATTTTCATTATTATCATTCTTAGATCACTATTATCAAAAATACAATTATCATCATTATTTTAATTATTATCAGTATTAGAATTTTTAGAATTTATTTTATTTTTATATCCTTAGGAATTAAATTTAATATTCTGATAAGAGAGAATAGATAGATAGATAAATAGATAGAAGAATGCGTAATACTGTTAGGGAGCGGAACGTGCGGCTGCGAAATCAATGAATGCGTCAGAGAGCTCAGTATTCAAGTTTAATCAGACTTAACAGCAAGCTAGTTAACAATTAACCAGTCGAGCGTTATTTTGTCACCTGTTCTTCTGAACGAATTATTATTTAATATTTTTATCTTGAAAAACGTTAATATTTATTAACACCATTTTGAATTGATTTGCGGAAGGAATAAATTCAGACAAGTGCAGGATTTTCAGGAGTTTTTTTATTTCTTGTTTTGCAATTTAAAAATGTTAAATTCAGTTATAACAAAATTTCTTTTTATTTCTCCCTAAAATATTTTTGAAGTAGACATTGGAAGATTGTTTTGATGTTCACAAAAAGAAATTGAATCAGAGCTTAATACAGACAAGATATTTACTGCAGGAAAAGATATCAGCTGTTTGTGCAAATCTTTCATGTAAACCGTAGTAGGGATCCTAAACTATACGCCTAGTGCATAAACAAACAAAATCAAATCAACTTATGTCTTATTAAGATCTAAATTATTGTTATTTACAGTGTTATTACAAATTTCCCAAGGGCGACTTCCCAAGTGACAATTTCCCAAATTTGCAAATTCCCAAGCAACAACCTCCCAATTGTTAGGTTAGGACCGAGTGCTGCGGCTAGGATGGGCTAGGGGCGGGGGCTAGCGCTGCGGGCTAGAACATGCTTGGGAGCCGAGCGCTGCAGCTAGGACAGAATCCACTGTATTTCACTGTTTTCTAGATTCCACTGTATTCCCCTGTTTTCTGTATACTACAGTATTCCACTGTTTTCTGGATACCACTGTATTTCACTGTTTTCTATATTCCACTGTATTCCACTGTTTTCTGTTTACTACAGTATTCCACTGTTTTCTGGATTCCACTGTTTTCTGTATACTAAAGTCCACTTTTTTCTGGATACCACTGTATAATCATAATACAAGGGTACACTACAGTTCATTCCCCTATTTTAAACCTAAATAAAGTAATTTTGTTGAATGAAGTTTTCAGAATAATGTCTTATCCATCATCCGGTTTCATGGTTCCCGGGTCCAGTCCTTCATCCCAATCCGGTTATCCGGCCTCTTCTGGTTTTCCTGGATACCCCCCTCAGCAACCTGGATACCCTCCTCAACAACCTGTATATCCACCACAACCTTCTGGATATCCATCAACCAATGGAGGATATCCACCACAACATCCAGTTTATCCACCGCAATCATCTGGATATCCACCACAACAACCAGTATATCCACCACAACCGACTGGATATCCACCACAATCAACAGGTTATCCCCCTCAGCCTCCCGGATATCCTCCTCCCCAGCCAGGGTATCCACCCCAGCCTTCAGGATATCCCCCTCAACTATCAGGATATCCTCCTCAACAACCTGGATACCCTGAATACAATTCTGCCCAATCTGGGTATCCTCAGCCACATCAGGTATATCCATACAATTACATTAATGTGTTGCGCTGAAAAGAGAAAGACCCTTTTTCGTCTTAAATACTCCAATGTTACAAACTAAAGATTAAATTAATCTTGAGATAAATAAAAAGATGAGATCAAAGGGATTAAAACATTTTTTAAAACTTTAAATTATGAAAAGAATCATGCTTGGATGAATTCTTGCATTGCCCAGGAACCTGATCACAGTAAACGAAACCTGGGACTGGCTGCTGGTGTCGGAGCAGGGTTGGGTGGGCTGACCGCTCTAGCTGGTTCAGCTCTAGCAGGGTTAGCCAATAAGAGCTCTGGGTCACACACAGGTATTACCAGTTTACAATGCACTGAAAAGTTGACTATGTTATTTCACTTGAACATAAACACTTAGACCTTGATCAATCTATAATATAGCAGTGCCGTACTAGAGCCAGTCTTTGTTTTTCGACGGTTCTTGTATTTTTAGATTTTATACAGCCAGAACCAGAAAACAATGGAATAGACGAAATTAATTAATACTTAATTGTATTCGATGTTGTAACAACGCAAATAGTTTTACTAGACACTTATTAGATCACTAATGTATACAGCACAATTTCTGTGTTTATCCATTGGACTTTTTAAAGCCATAACTTGGTTCTAAAAGTCGTCTTCCTATTTCAGAGTTTTCTGAGGCAGAAACTTAAGACATTTTAACCATGGTTAAATAGGATTCTAACCTTGGTAGATTGAATGAAGACGACAGATTGTTCTCACCATGGTTAGTTTTAACCATGGGTAAAATCATCGTAATATTTTGCGGCATCAGCGCCGCTTGGATTATTTACTAATTTAGCAATGAATTGATCTAAATTATAAATTCTTAAATTATCCGTTTTTTGAATGAATATTATTGTCAAGTCTAGAAGTTTTAATAGAGCTATTAACATTAAAAACAACAATTGTAAACTGTTTTAAGACCCGTTCCACTTTACATTTCTTCTAACGAGCGGTAATTCTTGCAGGTGGTATCGGAGGTTTGCTTGGTTCTAAAGGAGCAATGGCTGCTTCAGCTTTAGGTTAATTCATTTTATGCTTTTTCATTGTGATTTCAAACTTCTTTTCAAATCTGATCCAGAATAAGCAAGGTATACCCTAAAATATGCAGTACTTGCGTACTCGCAGTAAGAAAAGATGATTTTAGCAAAATTCAACTTTTTATTTTTAATTAGGTAGTTTTGAAAGTGGGCCTATCCATTCTAACCGTGCAAATTAGAAATTTCAGTCTTAAATTCCAAAATGATATTCGCTGAAAAACTCAAATTCCAAGATGAAAAACTCAAATCTTTTTGCACATCATATTTTAGCAATTAGACTGCTGCAGGGTATAAACCGTTACTCACAAAACATAAGACTGTAACAACAATCTGAAACTCTCAAAATATGGCGATTTTTAATTTAAATTTAATTTAAATCTTCTCCTAGATTGTAACCTGTTCAGGATTTATTTCATGATTTGTCAGAGAGTAATGATTGTAAGGAAACCGACAGTTTAAATTTCATACATTCGTCTCTGAAGTCTGATCCTTTGTGGGTAACCCTGTATATCAATACAATAAAGCCGACTTTCTATTTCAATTTTGATTTCTTCCAATCTTTTAATCACTAGATGCACATAAACAATAAACATGCATACAGAGGTAAGTTCTCAATTAACAGCTTCTCTTTGTTTACTAGTGAAATAGTAATTTGAAAATGCTGTTATGGGATCAAAGGACTATTAATAAAAAGTCGTCTTCATTGTCTTGAGATAATCGCCGACCACTGTAATTTAACTGTGTCTTCTACAAGATATGTTCCGCAATCTCATTGGTTGTTAGCTACGGTTGCAAGAAACCTCCGTTTTGTTCAGCAAGCACTGAAATGGGTTGGCAAGTGTTCAATAAATTCCCCTTTAAATGAGTGTTTGTGTAAATTTTTCGCGAAAACTCCCTTTAAGGTTGGGTTTGTTGTCAACTCCTTGTTCAAAATTAAAATTTAGCTCAAACCTGTTAACCTCGCCATTTAACTCTGAAACTTTTTAAATTGACTGTATCATCTGTTCTCCAGGTCTTGGTATGGGAGGGCACAAGAAGTCTGGAAAGAAAAGCTCCAAGTATGGTTTACCACTGGGAGCAGGAGCAGGGTTGGGAGCTTTAGGAGCACTTGGAGCTGCAGGATATGCCGGGCATAAACTAAAAAAACGCCATGGCTCCGGGTCAAGTTCAAGCTCAGATTCAGATTAAAATGAATGTCGTCGTTGGTCAGAAATAACCATTTGTATTAACAGAGTAGTATTCCAGGCAGGTTGTAAAATTATATTTATATTGAAGAATTATCCAACCAAACTTGCCATTTTGCCAATTTCTACACTTGGAGTTCTTTGGTTATTTGAAACACTGTATTATTCTGTAAAATAAATAAAACCAAAAAAGAGAAGAAGAAAAAATTTAGTTTTGTATAATATTCATTTTTATCAGTGAATTTAAGTTCTTTTTCAGGATATAATTACTAAAATCTACATATAATTTTGATACACGTTCATAACCCCTATATTTATAAATATTTGACAACATGACAGAATGTTATTTATTTATACGATGCTATGTCATATATTTGAAATAAAATAAACATTAACTAACTAATCCTCTTTTTAAAAAGCCTAAACATGAATTTAAAACATTTCCACAAAAAAATTTAGTTTACAATAAGATACGAATCTCTTTGCAATGTGCTATAGATAAAATCAGTTAAACAGTTTCTATACAAGCAGGGTTACCCACAAAGGATGAGAATTGAGAAAGGACTGTATGAAATTTATACGGGTTGTTTCCTATGAATTCTGTCAGATGAAAGAATCTTAAGTTTAAAATATCAAAGGTATATATTATCAGATGGAAAAATTAGCGCTATATTAGAAAATCAGAGTTTGTTACGAAAACAAGACTCAATTCCTTTACTTATAAATCTCAAAGAAAGACTAAACTAAATTTTTTAAACTGTAAAATCTTAAAATGCATAATATTTGGATAAAATAATACTTTTTAAACCAAAAATATTATATATTCCTGTCTTTTTAAAACTAATCAATTCATTGTCTGACTTTATCGTTTCAGAATATAAAATATAAATAATTTATACTTTCTTACAGCTTAGAATGATAAACATACAAAATTAATTCTGATTTTGGTTTTGATTGCCTTAACAGATCGACTATTAGTATTTTGTTCATTGATCTCTGAAAACATGAGGAACATTATTTATCTCTGAAAACATGAGGAACATTATTTATCTCTGTAAACATGAGGAACATTATTTATCTCTGTAAATATGAGAACATTTTACCCTTTCTTCGCTAATTCAGAGTTCAGACAAAGAAGTTTCAATGGAGTCTAAAATATATTTTTTATTTTTTGGAGAAAATCTTTGTACTTAGAGACCCAAAAAAACTGTGAAATAGGATTAAAAATAGCTTATTTATAGACTCATTTGTACTTATTAACTTAACGATTTTAAACAAAGACGACTTTCATTTAGCTTTCATGGTTCTGACTGTACAATGCTAATAAAATATATACAGGGTGTCCCAATAAACATGAGAATTCAGTGACGAATTCGATATCGTCTTTCTAAATAATTCTTTGATTTAGAATAGTCATACCTACTGAGAAAGCTGTAATCTGTAAGGGTTTCGTCTGCTATGTTCACATTTTGTTTGTTTATGTTTTGACTGCATACGACGTTGTACTTAGTAAAACAAGAAAATTACATACAGTATATACAAACAGAGTAAACTTGTCCGTCTTCACTGTTCAACTTGCGGAGACAATATGGACACATCTTTGCAGCCACTTACACTTTCCGTAAAATAAACTGTAGCAGACATAATAATATTATGGCGTTTGAAATAAGGTATTACAATGCTAATTCATAACAAAGACGAAATCCAATTCGTCACTGAATTCCCATGTTTTTTTGGGACACCCTGTAGATATTAAACATGTTTGCTTTTCAGAATTTAAAATATCAAATTACTCGTAAATCATGGGATATCCTTCAGGAGGTAAGATCAGTTCATGCAAACTTATAAAACAGGTTTATCTAAAATAGGCGCAATTACAGATTTCGTGATGGGGGGGGGGGCAGCGTGAAATATTTGTGAGATGTACGGTCGTTGTCATTAATATCAATACAATGAAGACGACTGTATATTTGTATAAATTTGTTTAACTTGTAATTTCAAAATTAGTTGTTATAAATCAAAGCATTATTATTAAGAAGTTGTCTTCATTATATTGATATAAACGCTGAACTATGGAATAAGGAGACGAGTTATAATTTGACATTATAGTTTATTGAACATCAAATACACAAAGATTGATAAAATGTCGTCTTCCTGTAAATCCTGTTTTTTTTCAATTTTATGGGTTCTAAGGAACATTTATATTTGTCTTATCATGTTTGTATCCATAAAAAAATGAAAAAAATTTAAACTGTTTGGTAAATTACTCTGCAGGGTGTCCCACGAAACATGACAGTTGGTAAATAGTTTTGAATGTCTTATTCCTTAATTTGTTTTGTTGTTTAATACCAAAGACAATAATAAAAATATTATATATCGAGTTATATTATAGTAAAATTCAAAGTAATACATATTTGAGCAAAAGATTTTTTACAGGAAATAAACTGCAAACAGCCTTTAATGTCTAATACAGTGTATGAAAAACGACATTCAAAACTATTTATCAACTTACGCTTCGTGGGACACCCTGTTTTTTGTCATTTTAAAAATCTGCTTCTAATGAAATCTGTGAAAATTTTTGAGATCAAAGCACTCTGTTAGAAGACAAATCAAACAAATTTGAATGGCAATGATCTTTTTGGCCAGCTCTTTTTTAAGCTCGCTGTATAATTTTTGAAACAATACAATACTTAATAATCTGATAGTTGTCTTTTTAAGTTTTGAAATTTTAATTAGATTTAAAGTTTTTACACTTAGTTTTACCATTTTCATTTAAACAAAACTTAATTTTTTTAGGATTATATGAACATGAACATTTTTCTTTAATCCAGGTTTTGTGTGATGAATGTTCTGTCTGCACTTGTTGCAATTTTATATATTTCAAACACAGTAAGTAAAACAAAATAATATAATTAAAATATACATATGTAGATTTATGATTACCTTTCTTTTCGCACATAATTTGTTAAAGGGTAAAACTTAAAAATATTTAATGACAAATTAAACAACATGATTTTTCTTATTAAAAAAACAAGAACAAAACGTAATCAAAGATTGGACTATATTTATAGCAAACGATGTGGTGTCTCTTTGGCCTTTACATTTGCTTAATTTAAATTATCCTAAACTGTATTTGTACTTTAATATTTAAGTTTTCCTAAACTGTATTTGTACTTTAATATATAAATTTTCCTAACCTGTATTTGTACTTTAATTAAAGCTTTTCATTTGGGGTTTAAATAGAATAGTATACCAGGGGTGTCAAATAGATATTTTTATTTGTTTTAAACTGAGGGCTAAAACCTCCAGTTTTGAATTTCTAAAAGCTAGAAATACTTGATTTTACAATTGAGCTATACACTTCTTTTATTCATTTTTGAAAAAAAAAATTAAAATTTTAGTTTTTTGATAAGGAAATAATCGACGTTTTTAATTGCAAAAAGAGTTGTCTGGCAAAAGTGTGTGCCTGTGAGAATTTCGCAAATGCCATGCTGTATATTTTATTTCTGATTTAATACTTTGTGCTCAAATGTAGAAAGCACGTACAAATGTATTGAAACAAATGTATTGAAAAAAAAAAATTCATTTTCGAAATTTGTTAATGATTGCAATCAATGTATTTTTGTTGAATGTTTGTCGAATTTTACAAGCATTTTTAATATAAAAATCTTATTTTTTAATATAATTGTGTTAATTTAAAAAAGCATATTAACATATAAATTCAGAGTCTGATACAGTCAAGGAAAGTAGTTGGTGGAACAAAATACCCATGTCCAGAGAAGCATTACCTCTTTTATGCAAAAATATGCCCCGTCCCTCTTTCCTTAATTAACGAAAGAAATAAGAAAATATTAAAATAATATTCTTGGGAGGATGAATTGTGAAGAATAATCTATGCATCATCGAGTGTTCAGGAGATCAAGTGTCACTTTATACAATGAGACCCCGAAAAACTGAGAAAGAGGAAAACAACATTGAAGATATTTTATGTGTATTTTATCTTGATATAAATCAGTAGCTTGAAAATCAACTTATTCAGTGAAAACGATCATTGTACATTGAAAAAATACTGTTTCCGGTTAAATTGGACTATTTAGAATCATATCTTTAGTCTAAAAGCCATCTTCATATTCCAAAGTTTTCGGGTTCTTACTATATTTCACACCTTTATGCCTTGAAAATATTTTTACAATTTTTTTTTAAAATTTAACATAATCTAACCCCTTGGGAATTTTTTCGCAATGTCGGCTGTCCCTTTAAAAATTAATATATTCTATAACATTTTGTAATTTTTCATAAGTTATAAATGCACAAGTGTTTAAGCAATGAATCCCAGCATTAACTTGTTGAACATGATATTAATCTTGAATAGTTTTAATTCCTCCAGGTTTTAATTTTCAGGGTGTGCTGACCTCGTTTCTGCAAGGAAAGCCTGGTCATAAGCGGCGGATTTATATCATCACAACAGCCGATGACCCAACTCCCAGAGGCTACCAGGAAGTACCAACAAATGTAGGAAATAACCAACCCCTAGGAGGCGGTCAGGGGGATGACTACAGATTGCAGTTCAATTATGCCCAGGTTGATAATAGACTACCAGTAGTAGAAGAACTACCCGTGTCCAGTAGTTTACCAAATGAGAATAATATTCCCTTGGATAATGGTATTTCAGAAGATAATCTTGACAGTAAGGAGTCAATTCTGGAAAATATCCCTTTGGGCAATACTGTTCCAGGGGATGACAGCGAGGGAGAAGACTACAGATTAACGTTTAATTATGCTCAAGTTGATGGTCGGGTGCCAGTAGAAAATAATGGTCCTGTGGATAGCAATGATTCAATTTTAAAAAGCATCCCTATGGACAATACTGTTCCTGCTGATAAAAGCAATCCTGTGGACAGCAATGACTCAATTCTTGAAAGCATTCCAATGGACAATACCGTTCCTGCTGATAAAAGCAATTACGGGGACTACAGTGACTCAATTCTTGAAAACATTCCTTTGGACAATACCGTTCCAGCAGATATTAGCAATCCTTTGGACAGCAATGATTCAATTCTAAAAAGCATCCCAAAGGACAATACTGTTCCAGCTGATAAAAGCAATCCCATGGATAGCAATGACTCAATTCTTGAAAAGATCCCCTTGGACAATACTATTCCAGGTGGTAATACTCCAATGGAAGATATTACTAGCGGCTCTTCCAAGGATCTGGATTCTCTTTCAGGAGAAAATTCCAATCTTAAAACCAAAGAAGCTGTGAGCTTGATCAACCATAGTTATGATAGTGGACTTATTGAAGATACAACCTCTGACAAGGAAAAGAAAAAAAACACTGCACCAAGAACTGGTTTAGCCTATTCCCTTACTGATGAAATATTTGACATGATAGTCAAAAAGGTAAGTATTTTTCATCGTTGATATTTTTCTTAAAAAATGAATTTCAATATTATTATGAATATTTTTAGATGAATATTGCTACAGCATTGTACAATGAGTTCTTGGATAATGTCAAAGCCAGCTTTGCTTCAGAAGAAGCTAGTCAAGATAAGACGAAGATGTTAGAGCCAAGTGTAAATAATACCAACGAGGAACCAAGGACTAAACAGTCAGTTACAGAGCAATCAAATACAAACCAATCAGTTTCAGAGGTATCAGTCATTGAGGAGTCAGCCAAAGATTCATCAGTTACAGAAGAGTTGGTTTCAGAGTCATCAATTGCAGAGGAGTCATCAGTTTCAACAGTTTCAGATTCAACAGTTGCAAAGCAGTCTGTAACAGAGTCAACAGTTGCAGACCAGTCCGCAGCAGAGTCAACCATTGCAGATCAGTCAGCCACAAAGTCAACAATTTCAGATCAGTCGGAATCGGAGTCAACTGTTGCAGACCAGTCAGCCAAGGAGTCTACTGTTGCAGACCTGTCAGCCATGGAGTCAACTGTTGCAGACCTGTCAGCCATGGAGTCAACTGTTGCATGACCAGTCCGCCACGGAGTCAACTGTTGCAGACCAGTCAGCCACGGAGTCAACTGTTGCAGACCAGTCTACAACAGAGAAGTCTTATGCAGAAAACTCAAATGCAACAACCTTGTCATCTTCCTAATGATTACATTTAACGATAATTAAAATATATATGTTGAAATTTAATTTTTCTACAAAACAAATATAGAAAATGAATAGATGTATAGCAAGCATTGAATTTTTTAAAAAAAGCCATCATTCTGCAGCTTTGTTTTCTGAACTTTAAACAAAATTTTGTCCTTGAGGGAGATAATCCTTTCTTTTGTTACAAATTTTCCAGAGGCCGAATTTAAAAAATTTGCGGCACGGCTTAAATTTAAACTTTGGCTCAAACATGGTTGATTCCACTTAAAATTTTATCAAATGTTTCAAGATTTAAGCCGGCGCTCAATTGAAACCGGTTTTGGCAGATTTAAGCCTCGGTTCAAATTTATCAAATTTGGACACAGACAACATAATAGAAAGAATTAAGATGTAAACACTACCTTTAGCTCAAATGTTTTGCGATTACTTTATTTGGACTCTCAACATTTATGTTCTACTTTTGAAAAAAAAATTGTCTGCTTGTTTACCAGTGTACAGTACTTAGTGTACACTCTAATATCCGATTTATTAAACATTTTCTAGCTGTGATTTAGCTGAGTGATTTAGACAAGGATGTCGCAGCTAGAAAATTCGACATAAGATCTACTAAATCTACAAAATCACAAGTTTAATTGTGGAAACAATGCAGTGCAATATAAAGCTTGAGAAATTGTTGCACACACGTCCTTTTCCTGTACAGTGTACATGTAGATTCAGATCCTTTCCTTTATTGATAAAAACTGTCAACAAAAAAGGGAGTGTAAACATAATTTTAAGCGACCCTCCATACAAAGATTGCAATGTCTGATTCACAACGTACCAGCTTATAACCATTATCTGATTAATAATGTGGAAGCAATTGTCGTTTTTCTAGGTTGAAAATTGTTAAATTCTGATCAATCCTACATATTTTTCTGAACTAGGAATGATAATTTTGCAAGTCACTTTCATGAGAAACACAAAATTTGAAATAAATAGTTTTCAAAATTGTGAAAACTCAGGATGCAGAAATTAAGGAGAAAATGAGTCTAAGAAATGTCATCGTTATATCAAGTTATATCAGTTTTTAAAGCCAAATTTATTTCCTTTCTTAGAAGAACCGTCAGAAAGTCGTCTTCTCTGAACGTTTTTTTATTTGTAGTAACAAAATATATACAGTTTTGTAGTGATAAGATAAAGAATGACATTATTAATTTACTTTTATATATACCGTTTTATATTCGAACAAATAAAATAAAAGACCTGAATATGATCCAGAAAAAAGTGTATTTTGACACAGTTAAACCCTAAATATTAAATACATCGAAAAAATTTATCAAATGTCGTATTCTTCACTTTCTGATAATGGGATGTTGCAGATATTTAGCTTTTTAATTAAATGAATATATGGAGCTCTATAAACTGTTCCCGCATATTTATGGCTATTTATTTGTTTCCGCAAATACTGGGATTTACGTAAAATAGTATAAAAACCATTGAAAAATTGTCAAGACGACATTTCATATTTTCTCTCGATGAAATTAATATTTAGGGTTTACATTATATATAATATATGAATTTTACATCTCAATTCAAATAAGCTTAAATTAGGACTGTAGAATATGAAGAGGACTGTTGTGCTCAAGATACAGGGTGTCCCACGAAACATGACAGTATGCAGGACGACTTGAATGTCGTCTTGATTTTTGATATAATTTGCTGCGTTTATTTTTCAACCTAATTTTAGAAGTAAATTTCTAGAGATAATAATCACAAAATTTCCCTTGTCCTGCCATTTCCAAAATGTGGTCTGCCTTTTTTGTGATTCCAATATTGCCCGAGATATGAAGAATTTCGTTCAGATTTCGACAATTTTGCTTTTATTTAACAAAATTGAAATCTGAACCAAACTCTTTATATCTCCAGTAATATTGAAAGCACAAAAAACGCCGACCACTTTTTGGAAATGCCAGGGCTAGGAGAATTATGTGATAGTTGTTTCAAGAATCATACATGTTAAAGTAGATAGAAGACTAAATGTCACAAATAAATTCAAATACCAAAGACGACTTTCAAGTCGTCTTGCTATTGTCATGTTTCGTGGGACACCCTGTATGATCTTAAACAATCCCATGAACATGAAACACATCCATTGTGCAGTGTACACAGGTCCATCTCACTTAAATGGTTGATTTTCAATTCCACATGTAGTATGGGTCCCATCTATATCTCTACTTTGCTTGTCTTCCTGTAAGTTTGTTTTTTTGTCAAAACGGCAGAACCGATTGGGTCCATTTGTTTTGGAAAATGCGTCAATTTAAATAGATATATAAATTCGTCAAAATTTGAGAATGATTAAAAATGGCCGACTTTCAGAGCAACAGTTAAAAGCTTAAATAAATTAAAGGAATAAAAGTTAATCATTACATAATCCAATTTAAATTCTCGGCATCATATTTAATTCTAATCAATGATAAGTTTTATGAAATCAATATAAAAAATCGCCAAAATTTCAATCAGATTGTTTGATGAGTCAAACTGTCCTCTCTAACTTGGAAAAGGACGAACTCAGCGGTAAAATTTGTTATCCGTGAATGAAGATATTTTAAACTATTCGCCAACTGTCATGTTTCGTGGGACACCCTGTATATTGATGAAAGAAAAAGACTTATTAGCATTCCGGAAATATGAGGGGAGGGAGCCCTCCCCCTACCCTCACCCCGGCCCCCCTTCTTATCTAACAATCTATTGCAACTGTTATTGATACATCACCAAATATATCCGATTAATTGACAATGATGAGTCTGCTATACTAGGATATTCAAATAACTATTTAAGAACAATGTTCGTAGGAATTTATTCTGTAATTGGGAATTGTAACGTATAATTGTATAATTGTATAATTGTTTACAATATACGAATAAACAAAGAATGACTTTTACAAATGCAAATTTGTGTTCTACTTGGACTGTTTTAAAAATTGAATTTTTACAAGGTTCAGAATTTTTTAAAAAAAAGTAATGCCATTTAAATAGAAAATGTAAAACAAAAATTTAACACATAGTAATTTTTGAAACTGGGTTGTTTTTCCAAATTCAAATCAAATTTCAGAAATATTAAATATTATTAAAATATTAAAAATTGACCGATGTAAGGCAAAAAAGCACACTTTTTTAGTACTACAAAATTTAGATATAGAAAATTTCTGATATTTTAAAACTCTTTAAACAATTTTGAACTCTGGATTTAACGCAGACTTTATTACTACCCATATTAAAATCCTTTTAAAAGTTAGAATTTCACTTATACTCTTGATTTTTTTTACATTTTTTACATCTTAAAACCTAATTAGAGGAAGCCATTTTTTATTTTGAAATAAGATACCCTCGAACTAACCTTGCTATTCTTCTATATGTCATAGGTTCCGGAGTACAAAATTTGAAACTACAGTTCTAACCCAGAATAACCAAAGTGAGACACATTCGGTTTCTTCTATTTGAATTCAATCACGTGTTGGTAATTCAGCAGTTTTAGAACGTAGGAAGTGGTCTTTTTTTACTTTTCCCTTCAGAACGCATATGCCAACAAAAAAGTATAAAAAAGAAAGGCGAAAAAATTACGTATTTTCGGTCAAATCGAAAGACCAAGTAAATGTTAAATCCGCGTGGTGGTGAAGTAATTTACTATTTTGAGCACTTAAAATACTCACTCTCAATACAAATTCCTTAAAAAAAATTCCTTGTATTTGAGGTTGACCCCCCTCCCGCTGGATCCGCCCCTGGCTAAGAGGTCGCAAAGTTGTACCAATTATGTCGCAGACATTTGACCTTATCCTTCTGTCTAGCTTGCAGTTTGTGTAGTGTGTTTATGCTGGGTCAAATGATGAAATCTTGTAAATTGTAAATGTTACAAATATATACATGTTAGAAACTCTGTAATGCATCAAGCAATTTGGTGAAATTTGGCAAGATTTTGTGTGATGGGGAAGGGTATATCTATCTATCTGTCTAACTATTATAATCTGATATTTAAAAGGGGAAAGGGGATTTTGAAATAATTTTATTTTGCGGATAGTTTTTTTATTGTTCGATGTAACACTAACAGCTTAGTCTCTTATGAATTATAGACCCACATTTAAAGGGACTGTCAGCGTGACCTTAAAACCTTTATCTTATTATTAATAATGGGGACAATATTGTCTTTTATCTGTTTTTAACTCCTTTATGTTTTCCGTAGTAGAAATCCACAAAGTTCAAATATCAATTCATTTGATTGATTTTAGCTTGTTCTCTTGTAAAAAAGTGCTAATATAGTTTGAGTCGTAGACGTACAGGCGCGGAGACGATTTCGCAGAGCTTGGAGGACATTCTGCGTATCAGGAGGCTCCGAAGATAATTTCGCGGGGGCTCTTAGCGGCCCTGCACCCCCTCCCTCGCTACGAGAGCATGATATATGGGTAAAGAACGCAAAAAGTTAAAAATATCCATTTTATCCAGACTTATTTGCAAAGAACTGTTTCGTGTATTTATCAATGTTGATTGTTGAATGTATTTTTATCTAAACTCTTCTTCGGCAGCCCCCCCCCCTCCCGCCTTTTTTTATTTTGTTTCATGAAATTCAGCAAATCTGTCATTGAAGGGGGTACTTTAAACATGCATGAGAAACTGTACATTGTTTTCTTTATTTTTTTTATTTTGATAATAACAAAACTGTTTCGTGCATTTCAGCAATGTTTTCTAATCCAAACTTTACGAGCATTATACCATGGTCTGTTTCTAATCTAGCTTCAGCTCCCCCCTTTTATTTTTTTCTTCCCTACCTTCTCCTATTTTCTTTTATTTTCCTGCCCCCCCCCCCCCCTATTACTTTGCCTGGGGTTGGGAACTGCATTATGGCAAGCAATACGTCTTCATCACCCGAGGGCATTGCGAGTATACAACTACTACCCAGAATTCAGTAGTATTCATGGTATCCTATAGTTAAAGGGATTGTAAACTAAATTTAAGTTACCTCGTTTATAAAGATTGCCAAAACTGATGCATGATACAGTATCCTTCATTTTTAATGTTTAATGTTTAATTGCTGAGATATGCTATTAAGGAAAGATTTACAGGATTTTCTCTAAAATTTTGGTAGAAACGTAAACCCGTTAAAATGTTTGAAAAGGGCCTAGTTTTGTAACTTAAGGAGATCCTCCAAGCAAAGATGGCAAAACCCGATTTACAGTATACTTGAAAGCTTTGTTAGATCAAGTATGAATTAGATATAAATAGTTTTGTTTCATTGAACTGTTTATTTTCATTTGCGGTTTCTCTGCTAAATTGACTGGCGAATTTCTTGTTTATGAGAAGTATAGAGAAGATGATAAGAAGCAATTAAAATTTTTCAAGTAAGAAAACGACAATATCCTCCACATTGTTGATGAGATTAAGGTTCAAGGGTACTGTTGAAAATCAGGCATCATGCCACCTTTGCATGGAGGATCAATTCAAATTTCGCTTACAATCCTTTAAGACTGCACTCGAAATTAAAGTTATCATATCACAACAATAAAAAAAGTTTTAAGAAGGTCGAAACAGTGTGTGGGGGGGGGGGTTGTTTACTAAAGAAATCTGATGAATATTCATCATAAACCAGTTCCTGAGAAGTTAAAAGACGTCAATTGTACACAAAACCTGTCTCCCCAACCTTTAGTTTCTTACCTTACGCTGAGCGATATAAAACGAATTAAGAATAAATGTGGGAAGAAATACAGAAGAAATGATACAACGGATATTTTGTATATGCTACCTGTTCTTGGGGGGTCACGGAGAGGAGCGGGTGCTATTACATGGTCATATGTGGTAAAAATGTGCAAATTAATTTTTTTTCCGGGGTAGTTTATTAGATTTGTAAACATCAGGAGATATCAAAGAAACTGAACTTTTGTCAAAAACTTTGATTTTTGATTATGGCGCACTGTCATATATAAAACAAATAAAAATATTATGAATTATCAACTATATACAAATGGGTCGAAAAATAATCGATGATTAATTGATTACAGGTTGTAATATCTGAATGATTTGTTTGGAATTAAATTGATTTTTTTACGATCCAAATCGAATATTTGAACTTTCATAATTTGTATGTGCACGCTATACTACATTCTTCGTTATGAGTCGCTTTTAACCATTTTCTCCTTAAAGACCATCACCATCAAATATTTTTCGACGCTAGACTAAAGGGGGTATAGTCTTATTTTTAGAGAACACTCCCTTTACAGCAACACCTTCTCTATTCTTGTTAACCCTACTTAGTATTTAAACCTTCAACTTCCCCCCCCC